CCTAGCTAAACACCTACCAGCCATTTGGCTGGAAGGCGGGTTTTAAAGGTAGAAAAGCCAAATGGCTGCTCTCTGGGACTCTAAGTGTTGGGTGATGGGAAGCTATGCTAAGGTTAACTAGCCTATAGCCTACATTTTGCTCTCTGCAAAAGACAAAGTAACTTAAGCGTACCATATAACTCCCACAAGTACATTCAGTTCGACACAACTACACACCTTTTTAACCTAACATTAAGGTTGCTCTGTCAACAGCCTATTGTCTAAATTACTGAGCTAACAGAGCTACGTAAACAGAGCGAACATGAGAGCACCCGACTGCAGACATCATTAATGCAGCGCAATGGAATAAACTCCCAATCTCTGTGAAAGTGATCAACTGTGTCCGGAACCAAGTTAAAATACGAAAAAAATCTATTCAATAATAATAGTGATGCAGTTTAGCCTTTTTTATGGCGTTATTTTTGTGCCACTATTCTGAGTGCACGTAAAAAAAGTTTGCACAAAATTCATTGTTGAGTGCAAAAAATGTATATATTATCCATACACACACAATAGGAGCCCCACTCGCTCGGTTTTTGCATTTGCGCTTGTTCGCAATGTATTGCTTGCGCTCTCAACATTTCTGCCCGTGCGCACTCAACTCTTTCTGTACACCTCAACTCTTTCTGTCAACTCTTTCTGTACTCTTCTGTACACCAAAACCAGCCAATCACAGACTTGGATGCAAAAAAAATCTGATTGGCTGCTTTGGTCTCCAATCTGCTTGAAATGACAAAATGCAATATCCCAGAATCCATTTCATCCAAAACTCAAATGAGGCTGTGGAGGAACACAGAGTGGCAGAGTTTGAAATATTACTCTTTCTGGGTCACAAAATAAACTTTTAAGATATTTTCATTCGAGAATGTTGCTGTGTAAACTTCAAATATCTGCTTGATTTATCAAGACATCACATAAGGGCTCTAACGTTTTCGGAGATGCCTGTTACCCACCAGCTGACCGCATAGCTGGACTGGCCATTAGGCATACTTTTTTATTTTTATGTTTGCTTGTTTTTGTAACGGTATAAACAACGAAAGGTGGTGGATTAACCAATTTAGCTAGAATTTTAAAAAAGACACAAAGCTGGAGTTATTCTGTGTTTTTGCTGCACAAATGGCTCTTCTTCTCTCATTCTCTCCCCCTCCCTCTCCTGTTGCTACTTCAATCATGAAACCGATCAATGATCAGCTGATATGCTTTTCTGCCACAAGTCCCGTGTCTCTTGTTTGTTTATCGCCCACTTTGCGACAGAAAGAGGAAACCAGCGGATGTTGCGCTAAACAACAGCAGCAAGCTTGATAAGCTGTTGTTAGAATTTATTTAATATTACTTTCTAGTATCAGCTGTTTGCTGGAGCCACAGCTGTAAAAACTGCTGGTCATGATATCAGTTTGGATATGTGGTGAGAGGGAAACATGAAGGTGATACAAATCATACATATATACCAACAAGACAGTGTACATCACTGTGACAACAGTGTTTGTTTTAGTTCAAAGGCTTTATGGTTTTTCCTATAATACCTGGTGGTGTAGTCGGCTATTTTTTGTCAGTCCAGCCTTATATATTATGTTTAACCCGAGTAGGGTCTGAAAACGATGTGCCACGCCTTTTGCAAATATGTGATGTATTGTTAATCGAGCAGATATTTGAAGTTTACACAGCACCATTCTCGAATGAAAATATCTTAAAAGTTTATTTTGTGACCCAGAAAGAGTAATATTTCAAACTCCGCCACTCTGTGTTCCTCTGCCACTGCCTCATTTGAGTTTTGGACGAAATGGATTCTGGGATATTGCATTTCGTCATTTCAAGCTGATTGGAGACCAAAGCAGCCAATCAGATTTTTTTTGCATCCAAGTCTGTGATTGGCTGGTTTTGTAGCACAAATATAACGGTGTTGAGCGCGCACGGGCAGAAATGTTGAGAGCGCAAGCAACACATTGCGAACAAGCAACAAATGCAAAAACTGAGCAAGTGGGGCTCCTATTGTGTGTGTGTGTATGGATAATAGCAAACACTGAAATACATTTTTGTACTCACCAATGAATTTTGTTCACTCAAATTTAGCTTTTCTTGGCTCAAAATAAATTTCTCCTCAAAATGCAACACATTGACCTGCCATTTTCTTTTTACGTGCGCTCAATTTTTTTTTACGTGCGCTCAGAATAGTGGCAGAAAAATAACGCCATTTTTTTTCGCTCAGCCGAGCCTCTCTGTTGCTGTTTTGAGCAGCCCGTGTCAGTCACCTCTTTCACATGTCACTCACTCATCCACTCATGCACTGTGGTCTCATAAGGAAACTCAGCTTTTTGATATAAACTTTTCCCTTCTTCCTGAATACAAATATTTTTTAAAGTATTTGTTCGAAATAAGTATTCGTAAAAAAAACCCACGTTATTTGTGCCCCTCCGAATACTGTATTCGGGTTCAGCTCCACCCCTAATTTGACCACAGTTAATTTGCATGAATGTTGATTTTCGATGTGCTGCTTGGATATGATGCTTAGCAATAGTGGTGACTCTTAAAGCTAGTCAGTGAGAACCCGGTGAGAATTGATAACAAATTTGAAACTGGTTATGGCTTCAGCACCCCTGCACCTTGCCCACTTGGATGTTAAAGGTGAGTAAGCAGCACACTCAAGGACATTTAAATCTGTTAACAGTATTGTCCTATGTCCGTTTCTCCGTCTTTGACCTCAGGAGCACCATGTTTTTGGCCCGAAAGGGAGACATACAGTAAAGACAACCCTGCGCTACCAATAGATTACTACCTATTGCTTGCATGACATGTGTGATAAATAAATAATAAATTCACGGTAACAGAAGTGGTAAAGGTATTAAGTCTGTGAAAGAACAGTCAAAAATCTGTCTTAACACATTAATAATGGTGAAGACAAAAACATTCTTTGGAATTTGATTATTAAGCTGTTAGCTAAGCAAGCCCCCCATAATATGAGCAATCCACTTACCAGTCACTTCAGTCGTTTACACCTTGCTGGAACAGTGTTACACTCCGTCTTACCTTCAGAACTGCCCTAATTCCTTGTGATTGAAAAGATTCCTCAGGGTGTTTGGTCCATATTGACACAGTAGATGGTGGAAGCAGCCATAAGAAGATGACTACATTGTGGCCATAAAAAGATGAACACAGTACTCAGGTTTGCTCTGGCAGTTGAGTGATCCTAAATTTGTACCAAGGGACACAAAGTGGCAAAGGCACTATGGATCCATACTTTCATGTTTATGTCTAATTCTGACACTACCATCCAAACGTTAGTGCAGATCAATCAAGATTTATCAGACCAGTCAATGTTTTTTCCCGTCTTTGTTGTCCAATTTTGGTGAGCCCATGTGAAATTTAGCCTTTGTATCCTGTTTTAATTGACCAGAGTAGCACCGGGTGTGGTCCCCAAACCCAGTTCTGAGGCTGGGTTTGGGGATATTCTGCATTGTTACATTGTGTTTTGATATTTGAGCTACTGTTTTCTTTTAATTCCAACAGTTTTCACAGACACGATTATCCTTATATTTTCTTCACATATTAAGATTTTGAAGTGGGTGTAAAATGTACAGCTTTTACGAGCTCACACAAATCAAGCATTATTACAGATTAAACCACTTCTTCATGCTTTTCATTGTGCTGACTGTTTTTCTATTCATTTTTTAAAAATGGTTTTGCAGGTTGGACTGTTCCTTGGAAAAAATAAGCTCTCTAGATGTGTCATTTTATGTTCTAGTTCAGTATTATAAGAATTACAATACTGTGATAATTAGTTTTAATACTTAAATACTTTTAAAGTGTTTTTGTCTGAATATTTTTTATATAATTTTACTTAATTAACCTTTAAATACAAATGTTTCGCAGCATTTACCGGTGCATGTTTACACGAATAAAGAATCCAGATCCTTCCTTAACCACATATCTATACATTTCTATGAAGTTCATCTTTGTAATATAAAACAGGACTGAAGCTGAAAAAACAGTGACTGAAAACTTTATTTTGCAGAGCAGAATATTAATATAATGACAATCATAAGCTAGATGTGCTTTCCATAGGTCTACCTGAGATTGAGCGTTTTTGTGTTCGTGTTAAAAATATAGAAAATAATTTAAAATTGTAAATTGTAAAATTGAATTTCTTCTTTTGTGTAATGTAAATTATACGGAAGAGTATTTTATATGTTTTGTGTCTTTGCCTTACATTCACAAAAAGTAAAAAAGAAAAACTTAAATATAGTTTTGACAATACATCATGCAAAGCAGAATGGCTTTCAATTCCTCCTGTGTATGGCTTTGTTTACAGCATGCAGGGAGCGACATGGAGCAGACTCTCATTCATCTGCTTGTCTTTTCTTACTGAAAAGAAAGAAAATTACAATCACGGCAATGCTCAGTCAATAAAAAAGACCTTTAACCTCTAGCATTTGCCAAATCAGCCATGATGATTTGATGTTACCTTTCCCCTGAAGGCTTGGAGGTCATGACCCAGAGTAAATATTCCTTGGCGGCCATGGAATCCAGTACCTTGTTCACATCGCTGGTGAAGCTTCCATCTACGTGCCTCTTGCTGAATGTTTCACCCCATCTTTCCATTTCAGATCTGAGTATGTACACAGGCACACAATGTAAACACTGCCCCCTAATGGTCAGTAACCCCACAGTACGGAAACCTGACAATTTAGCTGTAAAATTTGATCTGCACTGGAGAAATCATCAGTTTTTCATATGATTATTTTCATCATAAGTGAAAAGATTGTTCTGGTGTAATCATTTCCTAACTGCTTCATTGTCTCTTTGCATGGTTCATGTCTCATTGCACAGTGTGAGTAAGATATGATCAACACAGTGGAAAAGTTCAAGTGATTTATTTTGGCACAATCACAAGAAACACTAAGGGAAAAAAGCAGTGGAAAGGGGGAAAAAGGTTGAAGAAGCAAGAAGAATCAGCTGATTAGCTCGAGTTCTCTGTTTTGCTCTCCCCATCATGGTGGAATCAGACACAAGCAGGCCATTTTAGAAGGTTTGGGTATTGTAGGAGGAGATGCACGTGAAGAAAAGAAGGGCGGCCTACTCTCTTCGGACTTGTCCAGACTTGAGGTTGGCAACAAAGTCTTTGATTGCCTGGTCTTTGAGGAAGGAGCTTACATCACTGGTGAAGGTGCCATCTGCATGTCGCTTCTCGCCAGCACTAAAAAACACAGACACGGACCACTTGATATGTCTTTTTTATACTAATGGAACATATGAGTCAATTATAAAGGCGCTTTCTTATTTGAGGTACCTTATATTTACACTCTAGTGCTTTTAAATGTAAGATTTTACATTTACAAGTATAAAAGATCAACTCACTAAAGACTGGCTCTGAATTCCTCACAAAATGTGTGGCTTGCTGGGCACATGTGTCAGATGCTTTGGAAATAACCTGTTTAAGGCCAATGGACAGGCAAATAGAGAAATACTTCTTTTTATTATTATTCTTATGACCCCTCTGATTTATCTGCAGAGGCTTTAGAAGGGCCAGGCCCCTAATTTGAGAGCCAAAATGCATATAAATACATGAGATGTTAGGCTGCTTTTCTTGCATACTCCTTTACTGCTGCTACTTTAAGCACCATGTTGTATTACGTGTTTCACTTGTACAATTGAACACTACTCTGCTAGTATCCTTGGCTACTTTAAAAGATCAGTTCTAGTGTCTTTTATCACAAATTTCACACTGTTTTCACACTGACCCGCTCCTCTTGTTGTTCATCAGCCACCGAACAAAGTCCTGTGCTTTCCTGTCCTCCAGATATTTACTGTAGTCATTTGAGAAAGTTCCCTCTGAATGTCTCTTCATGCTCGACAACTCCACAGGCTCATCATTTAATGTGTTGTCTGATTCAAAACTGCAAGGGAGAGCAAAGTAGGTACCACTGAAGTGTTTTCCATAGCATATCATATTTCTACATATCTATATAAATCTCTAGGAACACTAGGAGTATAAAAAAGAGAAGTAAAAGAAAGGGGAACCGAAAGGAAGCACTTTGTTCTTAAACTTAGCATTGTCATATATAGTACATGTATCCTTTGTCCTTCCCTTTAATCCTACATTATGTATCACTTGTTTCAGGGTCACACTAAAAAGTTAATCAACCATAGGTTCTATGAGTCAGTATCAGGTCATGTAGGAATTTACACTATAATAAAAACAGTTTTTAATTGCATTTCAGCATAATCTTTAAAGCTTTTTCTTGTTTTTTAATTCAGTTGGAGAGACTTTTTCTCATACGGAAAATATCTTCTAAAATATCTTTTAATTTCTTTTTGACGTATTTTATAGTTGACCTAGCTCTGAATTATGTTTCAATAGGCTCAGGATACTGGGGAGCTTCCCATAATGCACTAAGCATTTCTTTTCCCTCTCTGTTTTTTATACACCCCTACTGTTTAATCACTGTAGGGTCTTTACCTTACAGTATAACTATTGTTGTGAATCTGTGCTATATAGATCAAATTGAATGGAATTGTTCTTGTGATTTAGTCACAAGAGTAACACAAGGGTGCTAAAAACAGCTTTATCTTAAAGAAGCGTTTCGTTGTACCTTAAGCTGTCATCAGCATCATGCAGAGGAACCTGCCAACTGCTTTGGACAAAGCCGAGGACCAGGAGGATGCCAGCCAGGGAGTGAATGCTTTTCATGGTGGTGACCTGTAACAGGGGACAACACACACAAAAAAGAAATAAAACATTCAACCAAACAAAGAAACATTTTCCCCACCCAGAAAAAAAAACCAAGAAAAAAAGAACTTGACGGCTAAAAGTAAAATACCTTCTCCACTGCAACAAGATACAACTCACCTTTTCTTCTTTCTTTCCAAACACCCGCTGTTAGTTCCACTGCTTATTGCTGGTGTCTGCATCTAACCACCCTCTCTCACTTTGCAGCCTTATATATTGAAAGAAGAGCTGCATAGGTGGGTCTTTTTCCCACTCTTAGAGTAACAGTTCCACCTATTACTCTAAACCTATTAGACACACCCATTACACACGGGGCCTGTTGACTGAATAGATGAGCCGACCGTTTGCTCATGAAGGAAAGGTGCCAGTCAAGCGTGATGCCAGCTGGTCCTTCAGTGTTAAGGTCAAACAACCGCAGTTCATCCTGTCAAACAGAAAGTTGGGGAGATGCTTTAATGTGCTACTGTGTCATTGTGATCGGAAGCAATATTTGTGGCGTCATAACTGGATGGAGGTTGTGGAGTCTTCCGTTCAGAATCAAAAGATCGGAAATCTCTCTCCCCCCCTTTTTTGCATCAGTTGCAGTTATCTCTGTTTAACCAAGCTGACTATTCAATAATAAATACACACATACAGGTGGGTGATGCTACATGACTGTCACACATAGACCAGATATTTAATTTGCTGGAAATTAAGGTTTATTAGTACAGGATCAGGGCTGGAACCTTTCACTTTGACACTAAATTTTGCTGACTTTTTTTGTGACATTGAATATTGATCATGAAATAACATTTTTTTTAGAGCACTGACATCCAGAAATATTATTCAGGTGCTGGATTTAAACATAAGCTTAGTGACAGCCCTCTTCCCCATATTTAGATTTTCCTGGTGCTGTGGATCCACGGCTGGATCAGGAGGGGTCAAGGAATCCCAAAAAGGCGTTGAATGCAAAACACTACTCAGTATCAACTGGGTCTATATAATGAAGGAGAAAATCAACAAGACTGTCTTCATATAGTGTCACAGATTTTTACAAAGGGACAAGAAAACTTCAGGTATTACTATTTCATCAGCGGGACCTTTCCCCCCAAGAGTTCCGATACTACATGGAACCAACTGTTTGATATGACACATATTTAAACCAGATGTCTTTGACAAAAAACTCCCACTAACCCAGGTAACACTAGTTTTCACCTGAGCTACACCCAACCCACTAATGACACCATACTTTAAATACCCCTTAAAATTGAAAGTGAAGCAAGAAGATATTTTTTTCCTCATTGTTAATTATTTATTACATTAGAAAAAACTCCATTAACAGTTTTACAAATGTCATAAAACTGTATCAAATACTTTGATGTGTCTATGCTTAATACAATGCTGTAGAAATTTTAAATGTCCAAGTAGTTCAGGTTCACTAAAATATTCCATTACACTCAGTTCCCATTTCATTCTTTGCATTATTATACTTTTTCTGCTGGCCTCTAAATGACATTTTAAACAATAAATGTACACTTAATATATTTCTAGAAATTTTTTTTTTTCACATATAGGTTTTACAAGGAACCATATCAGCTTTAATTCTTAAAGAGACAGATATTTTTAAAAGAACATATTACACACTTTTTGACTTACCATTATTTTATTAAATTACAACGTATCAGATTGTTTTTTGTACCCGATGAAGGTCAGTTGGACTGAAACGTTGTGGTTTAATAAAATAACACAGAGCAAGATGTTTGTTGTTAATTCAGAGCTTTTTTAAACTAAATGAACATATCTAAAACAAGCTCTCATAGACACAGAATAACATTAGAACTGGGACAGTTTTGCACCCATTAATTTTCCAATACTAAATGAGTTTATATGTATTTTTTTGCCTATCTTTATTCATAGAAAATAAAAACAGATTTTGGTTTTATGCAAAGCACCTGAGTAGAAAGTGAGTCATGTGGGTATAGACATGTTGATTGGCAGCGCCAGCGAGCCCATGATCCTTGTCTGTGTACCACTGAAAGAAGAAAGCATTATATGTATGAGTGTTTCATGACATTGGTCCCACAATTGTCTGTTGCATTTCCCAAGTTGCTCACCATGGCCTCAAAGTCCACCTGCTCCTCAACCAGAGCTTCTGAGATCTCTGCTGCCTGCTGGAAATGGACATTGTCTAGAAAAACAAACCGAACAATAAGGCAGAGTTCCGTTGAAAGGTAACATAGTGGTATGATCATGGCCATTACTTTTGTCAGTGCTGATCAAGTTGCAAGTGTTGGATCTATTTATTTTACATCAGTCTGTATGAATTTGTTGATAATGATAAGTGCTGGTATACTAATGGATTTTCTGCAATAGTATTGGCATTCAATTTAAAAAAGATGAAAAAAGTGTGCTTTACCAACCACATGTAGAAATTCAAACTAGTCTAGAACATTTCAGTTTAGTTTTCTATAACCACATTAATTTTGTTGCACTTTTCCAACGTCAGGAGGTGGCTATGAGGAATGCATCTAAAACCTCCTGTTTGAAAAGGCAGGGCTGCAAATGTATTCTGTCACAGCAAATGAAAAATAAACTCTCACACTTATTGTTATTATGTTTTAGGCTTATGTTGCCCCCCAAAATTATAAAATAATAAACAGACACAAACATAGAGGCCTTGTGTTGCTCACCATCGGCTGTTCCATGAACAAGAAGATACTGCACTGAATGGAAGTTCCTGGCCCTGCCAGTTACTGTTGTGTTCTGCACACAGTCAGATTTAATTTTTATGTGTCAACAAAGACAATCGCACAGCTGAAAATAAAGGACAGAGAACTTGATATTCCTGGCTGTGAAACTTACATCGTAACCTTCAGAATTCTGTGAAGGCAATTTCATGTAACGCTCTGTGTAGATGGAATCTGGTACAAATAGACAGATAGTTGCAGATGTTATTATTTCATATCATTAATGGGATTGTAAAAAGTGACAGCAAAAGAAATACCATAATAGCGCCATTTGGAGACTGGAGCAACTGCCATTCCACACTTGAAAACTCCACTGCCAGATCCCAAGACCATGGATGTGACATATCCTCCGTAGGACTGTTGAATATAAAAAACTCATTACTGCAGATCATCTATTGTCTTGAGTACATGCCAAACACATTGACTTGTGAGTGAAACATTAACTTGCACTAAAATATTCTCAATGTGTTTAACCTTTGTGGCGTTTTTGTTTAACACAAAGTCTTCACTACTTACCCATCCCCAAATAGCAACTCTGTCTTTGTCAATGAATCCCATTTTGATGAATTCCCTTGAAAAAAAAAGAGATATGAATTTAATATGGATAAGGGGATGACAAGAACTTCTGCTGATCATTGCCATCATTGACTCGTGATATTTCCGCTACACTAAGTTTCTCTCTAAATGGGAGTCACAGTAACAAGTAAAATCCAGTTTTATCAAACTTGCTGGAGCAAAGAAGGAACCTGTTTGTTTGAGATGCACTGACTTGTCTAAACTCCTCCTCACTTTCCTTACCTGGCTGCTGTTATCTGATCTTCCACCTCTTTGGTTCCCAGGCTTTTGTAAATTTCATACATTAACTTGTCGCCCTGGTAACCGCTCCCTCTTCCGTCAAAGCTAGCAACAATGATTTTCTCAGTGCTTGCCAGGTAGGTGGACCAGTTTACCCTGTAGACGTAGTTTACTTTCTGACTGCATGGACCTGCGTACCTGGAACATCAAGCACATTCAGAATGAGTTTTTTGGCCCTACTTTAAAAAGTCTTTTTGTTTTATTTTTTAAATGAACTCTTACACATCGATCAGTAAAGGGTACTTCTTGGACTCATCAAAGCCTGGAGGCAAAATCATCTGGTACCAGAGATCTGTCAAAAATATGAACATAAAAAGAGTAGTAGGTATAAGACATGTAGTAAAATAAATAATGAAACAATGTACAAATAATAATTTCATGCTGGTCAGAATTGAACCCATGGTACTGCATTTCAGCCACGGAACATTAGGATGCCTGCTCAACCAGAGAGCTAAATTATTTTTCATAATTGTTTTTTTTTTTTCATGACAGTTTTCCAATGGGCCACCTTCAGGGAAGGTTTACCTGCTTAAACCTTCTATCGTGCAAACTGATGTCCTCTATGTTGACTGGTATTTGGACATCCACTGCTTTTTATTCAAAATGCCAAATTATTCTTTTTGTTTCCAAATTTTGCTAATGGCAGATCATATTTAAAACATGCCTGTCTTTTCCAATAATAAATATAAACAAGTATTAGTGAATGTCATTAATGTAAAAGATATTGCATATATCAGTGCCAGTATCTACCTATTGATCCATTCTCTTCCGTTTATACTTAGCAGAGTTGCAGGGGGGGCTAGAGTCTATCCCAGCTACCATAGGGTGACCCTCGACAGATTGCCAGTCTGTTGCAGGGCTAGCCCATGCAAACACAGAGAGAACATACAAACTCCACATAGAAATGCCCTGGGCAGATTGTGGCCTCGGGATCTTCTGGCTGTGAAGCAACAGTGCTAACCACTGCTACTACTATGAATGCTACTATGCATGAAACCCCAGTGCAAGGGGTTACACAAAGAGGATGTGGGACCCATGGAATCTCCGATACCCAGCATCCAAACTGACGGCGAAACAACTAGTAGCTCGGTGTTCCAGCATTCGGAAGAAGGAACTGCTATCACAGCTGGAGATCATTGAGGTACAACAGAAATGCTATGGCAAGGGGGAGCCAGGATGATACGTCATATCATCACCCCCACCTGAGATTGGGTACCAAGCCCCAAATATGATGGAACAACGGGCGTTGAGTGCGAGAGCAGCTGATCTGAAACGTAAGATCATGGTGAAACTGGAAACCTGGACCCTTCCTAGCCAGTTACCAAGACTATGTGAAGTACCCCCTTGAAGGTCTACTAAAAGATGTGAATGCAGCAACATCAACTGCAACCATCAACGAAACCAACCAGCTGATATACACCATGAAACGAGTGATCATGGGGATCGATGGCTACACTGTAAAAAAAATTGTAATATAAAAGTATTTTGCTGTGTATTTTACTGTTTTTTTTACTGTTTTTCTAGAATATCATTAAATTTACATAAATAGACTGTCATGTTACATTTCAAATGAAAAATAACATAAAATCACTGTAAATGTAATAAAACATAATTTTCTTGTTTTTAAATATATTTGTCTGTACATATGCATATTTAGATTGTTAAAATACATTCACAAATGTATCATAATTTCACAAAATATTTGTCTGTTATTTGAAAGATTGAACTGTTAAATTCAAATGTAATGCTATGGAAAGATATATAAAATGATTCTTATAAACTTTTTTTCACATTAAATAATGTTATTTAGGGCGATCGTGGCTCAAGAGTTGGCAGTTCGTCTTGTAATCAGAGGTTGCCAGTTCGAGCTCCGGCTCAGACAGTCTCGGTCGTTGTGTCCTTGGGCAAGACACTTCACCTACCACCTACTGGTGATGGCCAGAGGCGCCGATGGCGCGATATGGCAGCCTTGCTTCTGTCAGTCTGTCCCAGGGCAGCTGTGGCTACAACTGTAGCTGCCTTCACCAGTGTGTGAATGTGAGAGTGAATGAATAGTAGAATTGTAAAGCGCTTTGAGGGTCTCGAAAAGTGCTATATAAATGCAATCCATTATTATTTAAACCAACTGTTAACTGTATATTTCTATACATTTAAGTATTATTATTCATATTGCCGCATTCATTGACCTTGTTTATAGGTAATTTCATTGTTTAATCACATTAAAAGGTTCCTAATTTAATGTTTAAAAGCACTTAAAAAAGGCAAAATCCCATGTAAAATTTGGGCAACAAACTGTATTGTCATTACTGAAAATAACCGTATTTTTATGAGAAAGTTATTATCTGTTATTTTATGGTATTATTTTGGCGCACCGGCTGCCGGAATATTACTGTTTTTTCAGGATTTAATTTTTACAGTGTACAAGATGATGGAGAAGGACACTAGAGGCCAAGATCATGGTAGCACGGAGGTGCTATGAAGAAAGGGTTGCTTAATAAATATAGCAGGCTGCCCCTACCTGAGGTCATGGAAACTACCAAGCAAAGACTCACAGACACTTGAAGAGATGCTGGCCAAAGGAGGCAATAGAAGCCACTGACATAAAGATCAGGAAGCTTGCAACCATGCCTGGAGGGTTTCACCCCAAGTCCAGCACCCTAAGGCTGTACGCTAAGTGGTAGGAAGGAGGTTGGGGACAAGTGAGTGTCAGCACCACAGTCCAGGATGAAACAATGAACATCCACATCAGGAAGATGGCTCGAACCGACCACATGCTCAGTGAATACCTCAGGTAGCAGAAACCCAAGAAAGAGGAGCAAGAGGAGGAACCATCATGTAAGGAGAAGCCCCTGCATGGTATGTACCAGCGGCAGATAGAGGAGGTGGCTGACATCCAGAAATCCTACCAGTGGCTGCTGGACAAAGATGGACTGAAAGACAGCACAGAGGCACTAATCATGGCAGCACAGGAACAAGCTCTGAGCACAAGATCCATAGAGGCTGGGGTCTATCACACCAGGCAAGACCCCAGGTGCAGGCTGTGTAAAGATGCTCCTGAGACAATCCAGCACATAACAGCAGGGTGCAAGATGCTAGCAGGCAGAGGATACATGGAACGCCATATCCAAGTGGTCAGCACAGTATACAGAAACATCTGTGCAGAATATGGCCTGGAAGCCCCGAGGTCAAAATAGGAGACACCCCCTAGGGTGGTAGAGAATGACCAAACTAAGATCCTGTGGGACAAGATACAGACGGACAAAATGGTGGTGGCTAACCAACTGGACATAGTAGTGGTGGACAAGCAGAGGAAGACGGCTGTAGTGATAGAGCTAGCGATATAGAATGACAGCAACATCAGGAAGAAGGAAGATGAGAAGCTGGAGAAGTACCAAGCGCTCAGAGAAGAGCTTGAAAAGATGTGCAGGGTGAAGGTAACAGTGGTAATTGGAGCGCTTGGTGCAGTGACCCCCCAAGCTAGGCAAGTGGCTCCAGCAGATCCCAGGACCAACATCTGAGATCTGTTTCTGCGAACATCAAAAAATAAATAAATAAACATACTAGATTTGTAATTGACCCAGATACTCTAATGAGAGGGATTTTAAGAATTTTATCTCATGTTTAAAAACATCTACAGTGTAGTGAGGTTGAGGTTTAAAATGGGCAAAGCCAACTGAATATGGTTAAAGATTATGCTTATTCGTTGCCATTGACAAAATATTCTGGCAATCTAATTGTGTAAAAAAAAAAAAAAAGCTTTCTGCAGAGTCGTTGTTTATTATTGCTATTGGATTATCGTTAGAGAGTATAGTCAAAAATGTTATCAGCTCAAAATGAAACTGATGGGGAAAGTCTTAAAGGAAAAATGATCATTTCTGCGTTCACTTACTGTATTCGCCCAATTTGATGGTGCCTTGACGCATGGTTGGCATTTGAATACCAGAAATCATGCTCACAAATTCCTTGTTGTCTTCCAAAACTCTTTGCTCTACAAATGTACAAATACAAGAAAGTTATTGGAATACTTTTTTTTTCTGGACTGCAGAACCAGTTGCATACTGTAACTTACCTCTGTTGTTTATGTTATCCATGAGAGAATAGAAAGGAGTGCCAGGACCTTTGAGTAAGGAATATGATGATATAATTAACTCAAATGATCCAAAAACTCTAGAGAGAATAAGAGGTAGGTTTTTACGAATCAGAAAGAGAATAAAACTGACCACTGCAGCTCATGCGGTAATAGGAGGCATTGTGGCTGAAGTAAGCGGAGTTATACCAACAGTTTTCACGTAGATTACACGTCAGACACTTGGTTTCTTGTTGTGTCCGCCTAAAACACATAAAAAATGCCCACATAGCAATTCTTATTGAATTTCTTAATAAAAGATAAAGGATAAAACATGAAAATCATTATTCTTACTTGTAAACGTTTCTTCCTCCTGGCTTGCCACCCTCTTCATTACTTGAAAAATATCTGAGGAGTAATCGGTAAGAATGAGTGAGGCAGGAGTTTTAAGAATGTAGCAAAGTAGGAATAAAGCTTGAAGGACACTAGTATGGAGACTTTGGAATTCTTAATTATAATCAGTGGCAATCAGACAATACCAAAACCTACATGGCCCCATGTAAAAAAGTGATTGCCGTCTAAAACGAATAACTGGTTTGGCCACCCTTATCAGCAAAAACTGCAATCAAGCATTTGCGATAATTGGCAGTGAGTCTTTTACAGCACTGCGGAGGAATTTTGGCCCACTCATCTTTGTAGAATTGTTGTAATTCAGCCACATTAGAGGGTTTTCAGATATGAACCACCTTTTTAAGATCACGCCACAGCATGTCAATCTGAGTCAGGTCAGGACTTTGACTAGGCCACTCCAAAGTCTTCATTTAGTTTTTCCTTCAGAGGTGAACTTGCTGGTGTGTTTTGGATCATCAAGATGATTTTTTTTTTCCAAAATTGACACGAGCCTTTATCTTCCTTTTTCCTAGCAGCGGTTTTTGTCTCAGAATTCTCCAGGCCATTTTGTGTCTTTCGTATTGTGGAGTCACAAACACTGATTGTACCTTTATTAAGTTAGGCCTGTAGTTATTTGGATGTTTTTCTGGGGTCTTTTGTGACCTCTTGGCTCAGTCACTGCTGTGCTCTTAGGATCATTTTGGTCAGCCAGCCACTCCTGGAAAGGTTCTCCCATGTCCCATGTTTTTGCCATTTGTGGATAATGGGTCTCACTGTTGTTTTGCTAGAGTCCCGCAGCTTTAGAAATGGCTTTATAACCTTTCCAGACTGAGAGATTTGTTTCTCATTTGTTCCTGAATTTTCTTGGATGGCAGCATGATGTCTGGCTTTTGATGATCTTTTGTCCAACTCCTTTTTGTCAGGCAGGTCCTGTTTATGTGATTTCTTGATTGAGAACAGGTGTGACAGTAATCAGACCTGTGTGTGGCTAGAGAAATTGAATTGAGCTATCCAAAGATGTGATACACCACAGTTAATTTATGCTATAACAGAGGGGGCTAACCACTTTTTCCACATAGGGCCATTTATATTTTGTCTACGGAGTCCTGCACTTGAGTTCTCACTCTGCCTGCCACACAGCTAGCTGATGACCAAAAACAAAATTTGAAGACACCGTGTGCATCTATTACATTAACTGCAAGCAATTAAATGAATAGATTGGGGATGTCAAACTCATTTTACATTGCAGGCTACATACAGCTCACTTTAATCTTAAGTAAGCCAGACCAATTAAACTACATGATAAATGAGCAAAATTACAGACAAAGTTGTGGGTAAAAACAGCAACTTTTCTGATATATAACTGTTTAATTGTTGGTGGTGGCAGTATTGGTACTGGTTATGATGATAGTGGTGGTGGGGAAGGGGAGGTCTGTATCAATAGGAAATGCTGCAAAACTTGTGAAAAGACAGTTAAAACTTCAGTGCACTCTTTTAAAATTTCTAAAGCTTTTCAGTGGGCCGGATTTCGTCTGTGGCAGGTTGATTCTGGTTGCCTTATGTTTGACAACCCTGTAGGAGATGATTTGACTTACACACTATCTGTTGTGACTTTCAGAATGTCAATAACTTCCCATTCTCCAGAAGTGATGGCTGTAGCCTTGCCCTGCATGAATACAGAATATGTGTGGGTGGTTAACATGTCACAAAAAATGATTCATAAAGATTCATAAAAGATATTGTGCAAGACAAAAGAAAGACTAGCCAGCAAAAATATTTCAGTACTCATACACCCACCCCAACCACATGATGGATGTGCTTGTATTGCTGGGTGTCACTCATGAGCAGGTAATAGCTGTTCTTATCTGTGGCAAAAACTGGTTCTGATGGAGAGAACTAAAGAACAAGCGTGTTATTATTTATTCTTTTATGCCTTTTCTGTGCAATTCATTCAAGTCAGCACACATTTAATTTTAATATTAATTTTATTTCAGTACCCTGAAATAAATGGTTGTAAGCAAATGTTATCCAACAGTCAGTAGGGAACTATTTTCTGCAGTGGATTAATACACATACAGTGTTCTACTGAGTGTTTCTGCAGCACTGTCTGTTGACAGTCAGACAGTCAGAGCAACAGCGTGACTCACTTTGATGTAAGCACAATACTCGTCATTGTGGGAGTGAGTCTTTCCATGGAATGTATTACTTTAAAACATTTACATATTTAATACCTATTTAACAATTAACAGTGTAGTGACCATACCCGTCCAATCCAGCCAGTGCTTGCCACCTCCAGATGCTGTGAAAAGATGTTAAAACTTGTGTTTATTGTCGTTCTAAGCTACAGTTTAGAGTACAACACAGCAGCCTTATCGGCTCAGCAGCTTTAAACCCAGAGAGCACAAAGAGACATTGTGACTGGGAACTGAATTTTGAAACGCTTTAGCCAACAAATTAGGAAAATCTCTAAATGGCAGAGTTGCTCTTTCACATTTGTACATAAATGGAAATAATTAGCAGCCCTTTAGCTAAGTGGAATGCCACAAGAAACTCTGCTGCACCAAGTTAACACTTTCGACTAGCTTTTGTCACGGTTTATATGAAGATATTCCAGAATAGATTTTTAGATCTTTAAAAGTTTATTTTATCCACAGGCATGAATGTATTACACTGCAGCATTTACATACATGACTGTATTTAGTATATAAGCCTGGACTACAGAAAATATTTTTGGACTAGATTTTTTCCTTATAAGACTAGGGATATAGGATGGAAGATGCATTCCAGATCATATTCTACTTCAGTTGTGCAAATTTCCAGTGGATTTGACATACATAACCATTGAGCTCTAAGTTATTTAGAGTAAATCTAGGGATATATTGAACAAATAGTCTTTTGTCCATACTTTAGATAAAAAGATCTATTTTTTATGTGATTTAACATGAAGCATGTCAAAAAACTCTAGTCTCAGTCAGCAAAATCTTAGCGGTTTTCACAAAGTTATGGACTCAAAGGTAGGAAAAAGTACTGGTTTATACATTTTTGTTTTACCTCATAAGTATTCCATGTGAATCCATTAAAGCTGTAGATCTGAAGGATGAGATGGTTTTGTACTCTCTTTAGCCACTGGACAGCTAGACGCTCATCACTCACCCAGGTTACAGTAGACAAGTAGTGCTCACTGAAGTGAAACAAAAAGAACAGTTAAAGTTCAACATTTTGTTTTTGGATATTTGTGGAAGAAATGATATATTAGAAAGTGTTAGATTACACTGAGCCAAATGAGTCTGGAACAACAACTTCAGAGATTTTTGTTGCATTGTCAGTGTCCACGACAAATAGCTTCACTGTGGGATTGGGAGTTCCTGGCTGCAAAGACAAAAGAATATAAGATAACAGACAAAAGTCAACACTGATTACTGATGTATGTCTTCAACAAAACAGCAAATGTGCTACCTTTGGATATGGAATAGAAACAGTGCTGGGGTACTGGTTTTCACCATACCACGAGTATTCAATAGTGTGGACCCCGGTGTCATTAAACTCAGCGTAAGCCAAGTTCTTTCCTCCAGGTGACCACCAGAGACCTTGGTTGGATGAGAACATTTCCTCTGGAACGATGAACGTATGAAGCTGTGTTAGAAGATCTTTTACAGCTTATGGAGTAGTAAAGCAGCATGGTTTCATGTTGTCACAGTACAATAGATCGATAGATCGATATGTGTTTGGGGTTTTTTATACTCCTTGAAATGTGACTGTAAAAACACAAACATTCTTCTAAATGAATGGGAACATTTGAGGCCTACTGCTGTCTTAGAAAATCTAAGACAGAAGAGAAATGACTGATATTATAGTGTAAAAATATTTTTTTAAAGTACAGACATATTAGCAAAACATCCTTTGTATGCATTCTACTGTACAGTAATTAGTCAAAATCATCAATTACATTATAATAAAATATCAGTCATGAAACGCTGTGTGGCAGGCAGGAGTAGGACCCAAGATGCAGGCACTCAGACTCGAAGGATGAACTCAAAAAACTCAGCTTTATTTGCTGACAGGAGAAAGCATACAAAACTGAACTGGGAAATATAAGCTTACACTTGACGGCGAGGCACACGAGGAAACACACAGTTTGAGGGACAACGCAACACTGACTCAGAGAAACACAGGGTTTAAATACACTGGGAAGTAACGAGGGGAATGAGACACATAAGGAGGGCACAGCTGGGAGAAATCAGGACTGACGAGACAAGCAAAGCAGGACGCATTCACATAAGACACGGACCTTCAAAGTAAAACAGGAAGTATGACACAGAGACGCGAACTTGACACGGTGGAGACAGCAACTAAGAAACACAGAGACATAAACCATAAGGCAGAGGACTTATGGTTTATGTCTCTCCTTTTGAAATGTGTTGGTCTCACCAGTAAGACACAACTTTTACTTTAAAGATTAATGTTCTACATTTCTGGTCTTGGTTATAGTTTAATACTGCTCGGTGGTTGGTTACAGAGTGTTCGCTAACAAAGTTTGTATCTTCCACTGCAAACTACTGTATAGGTAGTTGCATAATATGCTAGTAATCAAAGCAATCACAAGGAGGTTGTTGGTGCAGCAACCTATTTAGAACGTATTTAAAAAGCATTTCACCCAAACAATGGAAGCATCACACCAGCCAGCAAACACCTCTCCATCTGAGTTTTTGCTTTTCTCACCAAAAGATTCCAGTGAGTTCACAACTGATCTGAGGCCTAAACTTTGTATGATATCTAAATGCTAGTCAAGTATGACATCCTTTTTATTACTAATTGTGGCGGTGGCGTAGTCTGTGCCGCTGCTGCAGGGGAGGCGTGATGAGCTGATGCAGTTTCGGTGTGCCAGCCTGTATTTTCCCACAGCGGCGCCACAGACCACGCCCCACCACACTAATGTTGTCTTTTTGTGCTTGAATAATGTCTTTATGTACCTGTATTTATCATATGGTATGGTCTAATATTAATATAAAATGGTTTATTTACATGTGATATTAAAATTTCAAATGCCTGTATCAGGATACGTATAGAGTTGATCAGGGTCTCTTCCTGGAGACACAGCTACTTGTGTAACAGTAAGAAGCAAGTTTCCTCATGCAAACACTGAACGTAAATGACTCATATATCTTCCACTTACCCTCATAAACCCAGTCTGGGATTCCATTTAAAATCTTATTTTCCTCGCCATTGAATGTGACTTGTTGTGATGTAGAGTTGGGGCTGGTCTTTATATACACATTATTGTTCCAAACAAAGGCCTAGAAAAACAAATAAACAAAAGTCAAGAGACAAAACCCAAATATATGGATGGATGGGAGGACTTCGAAAAGGTTGTACATGATAATCTTTTACCCACTTCAAAACAGAAGTGTCATTCAAAATTAAGCCTGCAATCATCTGTCTTTCCCTGAACTTACCAGTTTGTTCCCTTCAGGGGCCCAGGCAAAGTACTGGACTTTATCAGGAATGTCAGAGGGTGTGATAAATGTGCTGAAACAGATTTAAGCATACATTTTACGAGGTGCCTGTAACTGAAGTTGTGAATTATGTCGGTGATATAAATATATATTTAAATAGAGGAAGCCAAAACCTTCTTTGTAGTTGAAAAAAAAAGTTACTCACTCTGACTCCCGGTCATAAAGTGAATATGAAGCTGTAAATGAATGTCTCCACAGCTAATGGGACAAAAACAAAGTAAGGTAGTTTATCATTTAAAAACTTTGAATATAAATCAGTTTAGAAATGAATCAGATGTGAATAAAGGTACTTTACCTTGGAGTAGTTGCTCATGAATGCAACGTATCGGCGGTCAGCTGACAGCTGGTAATCATAGGCATTTTTGTCTATCTGTTTGTTGAACAGAGAGATTGTAAGCATTTCATAGACACCTCCTCAAAGTCTTGCATACAAACAACACAGCATCTGTATGGAAGCTGTGTGCTATAAGCTTTAAAAGAAGGCTATGGATGCACATGAGAAGGATGTCTTACAAATCTGTCTTTGCTCAAGAAGTCTGATATCTTGTCTGTTGCGACGTCATAGAGGAACACTGAGCCTTCTGACATATGCAGATATTCATGATCTATGGTGGAAGATGAGAAAGATGAAAGCACACCCTTAAATATTCTACTTACAAGGGAAAATGTGTGTTAAAGAAGAGAGTTACTAAATGACTGATTACTGTGATAAAAGGCAGTTGACACAGTCATATAGATGACAATCTCAATATGGACCAAAGTTTTCTCATGATTGTTAAATTGAAAAAACTGCTACTACTACTTTATGGAAATGAACTTTAACTTGCTGTAGTGCTCTAATCTAGCTATAGCTACTACTTGATTTATTCACATGCTACAGTTATGGTTAAACATACCCAAATGTATGGATTAGAATTAGGGTTAGACCCTATGGTAGGTTAGCTCTGAGAGGGTTAAAACCACTGGTACCAAAATCATAGTAGCACCAGATTTAGCACCAGGGGTTAGTTATCCATTGGGAACATGAATGCAAAAGTATGAAAAAGTGCTTGTGATCCATGTAGATTAATGGCCAAAACCAGCTTGATATTTCAGAGAAAAAAGGTGCTGTTCTGGTTTCAGAACAAGTGAATTAGGCAGGTCAGAGCTGTCCTTATTAATATTACTGCATTCTAGGTTATTTGGTTCCATATACTGGGTAATTAAATACGTGCCAATAATTTCATGTGCCTCAGTGAGTCAGTAACACAAAGTGGATTTTTGGAGATATAAATTATCCTGTCTGATAACATATTTACAGTCCGGGAGACAATAACTCAGTGTCATCATGCCCCACACTTTCTTTCTTTCTTTTTAAAAAAAATACAGGTTAATTACATCACCCACCAGAAATCCACCTCATGTTGTAGGATTTGGGTTTCAGTGAGCTGTTGAAGACGTCCTCAAGGGTGAAAGATCTAATGCTGGCCTCGTCGTTCTTTTCTGAAACACGTGTTTGGAAAAGTTAGGAGCTGCCAAACACTTGAAGATCACATGTTACAGATATAATATCTAGCCCCCCCCCCCCCCCCCCCCCCACACACACACACACACACACACACACACACACACACACACACACACACACACACATTATGATGCTCAGCAATGAGATAAGCTAAGAGCTGTAGAGGCTGTAACTGATAACGGCAAGTGGGATGTCGCTTACGTTAATGTGTAATAATGGAAATTGTCAAAGTGGGTACAGAATGGGCTTGGATTTAAAGGTATGCATATGGGGTGTCAGAGAAACGTCATTGCGACTTTAATCACACTTATAAATGTGACTTCGCTCGTTTCTTAGGTGGCAACGTGACTCCCGATGAGCTAAATGTTTTCTTTCAGTGTTTTTAGAGAAGTGTTAAGTGACAACGGTCCAAACAACGCGCAATGACGCGCGCATAAAATACTTTCTGACAAATGTGTTTAACGGTAAAGCAGAGATGACGCCAGTGTGTGAAGCATTTAATAACAAAGACTCACCATTAAGAAATATAGCCGTGGGGACCGCTATCAAAACGACGACCACAGCTGCCCCAAAAATTCCGAGGAGCACCTTGGCAATGGAAACCTGTTCGAAGGGACAAAAGTCAGAAAGTGCAAACGGTTCCGTGTGAAGCATTCCATACGCATAACAACGACGTGTGAGTATTAACAAACCACCACCAACCATTGTTTCTGGCCGTAAAGTGAAGTATGCAACCGATATCGCTCCGAATCACAACTTCATCGATCCAGTGCCACACGCGCAGAGAGCAACAAAGTTATGTGACACATTGGTTTGTTGTTAAATATTATCTCAGCTCAAGTTTCAAAGGTGACACAGAAAATGTCCAGCGGAGTAAAGTTCGTCAGGTTTTATGATGCACAACAGTTTTGAGGAAGTATGTTATCCAGCTGTTCCCCAATTTGTCCGCTATTCAGAAAATTGTTCCTCTTATTCAGCATGTGGAGCAAAATGCCATTTCACTTAAATATAAGAACACATATCGTGTCTGTAAACACTTTTTGTTTTGTTCAAGGCTGCAATTATCAGTTTAGTCTGTTACTGTGTTTTGCAATTGCCTGAAATGACAAAATTAATATCTTGTTTGATTAGTTATTTTCCTGTTCATACAGAAAGAGAAAATTATGCTTGTTAGACAGGGACGTTTGCCAGGAAAAAAGGAAAAAACGGATTAACGGTTTACAACTATGACTAAACAGAGTGTAGAAATAAATATTAAATAACGTCATTTTACCTCTCAGGACCTGGCGTCCACATATGTGGACATCACATTTTGGGTTGTCTAGACCAAAAATACAAAATTTTGCTCTACAAGGGCCCAATATCCACATACGAAGACAGTATACTACCACTGTTCTATCGAAATTTAAAACGAATGTCCTCATATGTGGATATCATTTTTCCCAGAAACAAAAATCAGGTAAAAAGATAATACTTTGTTTTTACATTCATCGGGTCCCAATCAGCCCAAATAGCAAAGAGAAATTAAAAATGCATGCCATGAAAGAGTTAGGAGGTTAAAGAAAACCGATTATTTTCATATATTATGAACTACAAAAGATGATCACATAGCACCCGATATATATTAATTCCTGCAATTGTGTTATTAAATACGATTTAATACTGTGAAGGCTATTAAAAAAAAACAAAAAAGCTTAAGCCAAACTGTACTTGAGCATCCTTATTATGTGCCAAAATCTATTAAAAATATTTCACTGCTTTGATAGCCAGATAGTCACCATTGCTATCACTGGCTATGCTGCTATTGTGGCTAACTCAGTCAAGCTAAGTTGTAGCATTATATATGCAGTCCTGAGAGTTCATTCATAAAAATCAAACAAACAGAAGCTATTCATATTGAACCACCATCCTGTATGACAAGGAATAACTTTTTGTTAGCTCTCATATTGCACTGCATATGCTGTCCACCACTTTACATGACTGTCAAAATTATGTCTTAGATGCATCCACCATATAGTCCCTTCTGTAGTGCATGGTAAGAGTCCCCAAGCCGTATGCAATGCAATAAGTACGGAGGAATGAAAAAGTTATTAAAAAAAAGTGATTTTACATTCTCTGCTCAGATGTATTTTTCTAACAGCTGTACAAATAACACTATTTATTCTATATATGTACACACACGTATATATATATATTTTTTCTTTTTTTTCAGTCAGTGTGACTCTCAGAAATACAAGTTTAGGGTTTTTTTTAGACATTATTTCCACTGACTGTGCAAGTCTTCCTCTTTGCACATGACACTGACCAGTCTGAAAATGCTAAGAGCCCATTAAAGGCTTAACAAATATAAAGCTGTGCCTTTATGAGGAATAGACATCATATTCTGCACTTATTTTCCTCATACCGGACATCCTCAGCAAACAAATAGACAGTGGATGTCTTCCCTAATGCAGCATGGCTTGTTTGAAGAGTGTTACTTCACAGATGCCTCCATTTAGCTGACACTCAGCCTGACTAAAATCGTTTATAGGTGTCACTTTATACGCATTTAGTCTTATTGGACAGATATAGCTTTGACGTATGAAGGCAGAGAGTGAGGAAAGAAAACATGACAGATATAGAGCAAAGTTTGAACCGCTGGTCATCTGAATCTATGTACAGTTGTGTACTGGTGGATTTATAATCTAATGCAGAATTTTGATACATGGAAATATTGCAATGTCTTGACATAACAACCATTTTTCAGTTTAAAGAAAAGTGAATAAAAACAGAGAAAACAGGAAGTCATTAATGTAAGATAAACACTGTCACCGAGTCATATTATTTTTTCAACTCTCTTTCAACTCTGCACTGTGTTAAATAAAAATTTGTTATATAGGGCATGAGACATTTCTTTGGAGGGTGATTGTGCTTGACCGCAACCAGCCTTCTAATAAAAGTGTGCCGTCTCAGGGATAAATTGAGAAGCTGGGCCTTGACTTAAACAGATTCTTTGCTTTAGGTTGAATAGCCTTGAAATTTGGGAGTTGTTTGGAGGAACTGTGAGGAAATCACTGCTGTTGGAAATAAGCCAGTGAACATTTTGTAAACATCCTCACTGCACTGACGTATCAACTTATTCAGGGCTGCCCAATCCCAGTCCTCGAGAGCTACTATCCTGCAGCTTTTAGATGCATCCCTACTCCAACACAGCTGAATCAAATGGTTTGATTACCTCTTCAGCATGCCATCATGTTTGGCTGATGTAGCATTCTTAGAGCAGACAGAACCGGATCACTGTAGAAGGTTCCATGATTACAGATTCTGACAGTCAGACACCTAATTGTTAGAATCTGGAAACACTGCAGAGAGGATTGGCTAGTTTTTCATGGGCACAACCAATGACTGTATGGGCACAACCCACAAATGCATTTTCCTCACAAGTATGGCAGGAATTCCAACAGTAATAAATTTATTGCTAAGAAACATTGTTACAACAAAGAAATAAGTGACCAAACAGAAATTCTCTTTTTATGCTAGGTGTGTGTGTGTGTGTGTGTGTGTGTGTGTGTGTGTGTGTGTGTGTGTGTGTGTGTGTGTGTGTGTGTGTGTAGACAGAGAGACATTATTCTTTCAAATCCGTGCACCTAGATTTTTTCACAGCATAATTACCTTCATAGCAGCCAGTGTGTGTCCTCGATGACCTACAGCACTCTCAGATGCTCACTGATTTCGGTGTTTGGCTCTGAGTGTTGGTATTTCCCTGTTATGATAAAGTGGGACCTCCCACCCCAGATGTTGGTTCTGTTAAGATACCACTCCACACTAAGCCATGGACATAACATACAGGAAGTAATGTCTTTTGCACTGTCCTTTGCTCTCACAGTTCTCTAGCAGCCTCAGATATTTTGCTTTTCATTTGAATTTCTTTTACTGAAGTTTTACTGAAGAATGAAATGCCGTGAAGGCTGCTCACTTTTACAGATGTGAAATCTCATCTTCTATTTGTTGATATTTTCAGCTTCCTGTGTTGATTAGATACACATATTCTTATGATAGTGTTTTAGGTAAAGCTACTTTTGACTCCTCCCTTACTCAAAAAGGGATGGCGACAGTAGGTAGCTATACATAAATGATTTGGCAGGTTATTTATGCTGGATCTGCAGACAATTAAGAATAAATAAATAAATAAATACATTTTTAAACTTAATTTAAACGTATCTTAATGTGCATTTTTCTTACTTGTAATTTTATTTGTTTCGTTTTTATTTAAAGACCTTTAAATTCCTGAAATTATGAAAAATAAATAGTATATAGCGCTTCTTTATTACACGAGCAGAACCAAGGTTTCCACAGCACAACCTAGTGGTGAATGACAACATTGCAGGAGAGCAAAGCTAAGAGCATTTTGGCGGTCCTTTTAAAAATCCCCTGTGCTCTTCTGTCATTGGCTAGTTGCAATGTCTGTCAAGGCACTTCCGACAACTCTCGGCAGCTCGGATGTGATGCACTGCTCTTCTGACTTCGGAAGTTACAGCGTTATTACAGTGTAGCTCGTATCAAATCACACTGACATTTTATAAGTATTAAACTTGTCAGAGGTCTTTCCTTTTCACCAAATGGCTTATCCAGGATACGGCGGAGTGAGTAAACTGTACTAAACACTGTTAAACGAGCTACAGTAGCTAGCAGGAGGGTTAGCTGTTGCTGGAGGCTCTTGCATATTTTACGTTAAGTTGTGACTGTAGAGGTGCTGCATTTGTTCCTGTACTCCTGTAGTAATTATTAATGTGGTAACTTTTTACCTACTGTAACTCAGGAGCTATATTGGCGTCCTCTGTTGGTTGTAAATGAACTTTTATACCCCGAAAAAATGTCTTCCGGGATGAAAAATCTCTCAGTGCTCGCCTTCAGTCTCTCAGCTGTGTATATGAAAAAGGTTTTGGCATAGAGTAACCTATGAAATTACAGCAAGTACGATTATCAGTGCTAAAGACTTTCTTTATGTCTGTACACTGTATTTAAACAAGCACTGCAGAGTATTTGAAAATGTAGCGTATTGACAGCACTTTGTGTAGGGCACACAGGGCAACAGGTTATAATTGTTTTGTCGTATGAAACAAATCAGCACTCTGATCAGTGTTTTACATACCAGTACTAATCTTCTCTCTATTTTCTGTCTCAGTATGGGGGCCAAATGCCAGGCATGCCACCGCAAGGAATGCCAGGAGGGCCCATGAGAGGTCCCATGCCTGGGAACATGGGGGGTCCGATGGGAGGTGGGCCACCTCAAGGAGGATATGGACAGTATGGAAGCTATCCAGGAACATTTGGTGCCCAACCCCCACCTGCAAATGACCCAATGTGGGGATACTTTACAGCCATAGCAGGCCAGGTGAGTTTGGATGCATGCAGAAACATGTCAGTCATAGTCTTTAAGAAAGTCACATTTTCCCACCAGCTTTGATTTCATTTTCATATTTCTGGTCAAAAACGAGACAGGCTCTGTCTGCAGATGTTCAATATGTCATAAGTGTCAGGAGCTCAGATGAAGCAGTAAAGGAGCTCTGACTTAACTTGAGTTCCCTCTGTCATCAATGCATAGATAATGCACAAAATCTTGGCTGCTGGCCTCCAGTTCGAAACGGTGTGAGCACAAAGTTTTACTTGATAGTGTGTGCACTCAGCTGAGAGGTTGTGGCTTGCTGAGACGAGAGCAGAAAGTTGTTTAGTTTTCAAGAAAAAACTGCATTAGAAACATTACAAAACAGCAGTGTACATGCACTTGCACAATGATGTTTGCAGTTATTGCACTCAAACTATTTTTGTTTAGTGGTTTTTATTCCGGGGTATTATTTCCTGTGGGATGAAACTGTTTTTAAACCTACTGGTTCTCATCTTCAGAGACTTGACACAGCTGCCTGAGGCCGACAGGTCGAACATTCTCTAATATCTGTTGATCTGTGGTCATTATATTTTTCATATTTGTCGCATACTGTAGTCTACCAAAATCTCATGGTTAAACGAGTTTTATTTAAAGTATCAAGGTTAACGGTGGATTATTTTAATTGAACTTTTTTTTTTCATCTTCACTTACACTACCGTCTGTCACATCTTCTTCCTTTCTTTACTTTCTGCTACACAGACAAGATCCTCTGCAAGAATGAATCATGTAGGACTAATATTAGTCTCTTAACCTGCCTACATACCATTTTCAACCTTTTTGGTGCTAAGGCATATCAGAGGTCAAATGTAAAGTTTTGATAATTATTAAAGTTTAAATAAGTGTCCAAACAGGCAGAGAGAGAACATGAAAACTATACAGAAAGACCCCAGTTATGGTTTGAACTGTCTTGCTATGCAGTGACAGAGCAAACCTCTACATCACCATGCCACCCTGCATAAGTGGTTGAAGAAATAAGTCACAGATAGTTAATAATTCGGAGAGTCAACTCTTACATGTCACCTCATTCACTCCTTCAAGCAATTCTAGTCAAAATCTGTTAGTATTACCCTGTCTTTCTCTGGTATCCCAGTCAGTGTTTGTTATAAGCTAATGTAAGCTGCAAGGCTTAAAGAGTGAGTGCCAGTAGAGTTTGTACTGGTCTATAAACCTTCCATCCGTTATGGATGCAAAATAGAAGTAAATGCACAAAATAATCAAACTATTGGTAGCATTCATTTAAACTCGTTGGTTTCCTGGCACAGGCTCGGGTCTTATGTATAGTTTTTTCAATAGTGTTGAGTTTGGGTGTTTGGGAAGGCCATTCCAGAAGCTCAATGTTAGGCAGCTTTATCTCTTACAGAGCCAACTTTGTTGTGTGTTTGGGATGATTGTCCTGTTTAAACACCTAATTGTGTCCAAGTTTCAACTGTTTAGCTGTTGATTTGAGGTGATGTTGAAGAATTTGGAGGTAGCTCTGACAGATCTAGAGGAGGTCTGTGTGGATGAGTGGGCCAAATCCCTGTTGCAGTGTGTGCAAACCTGGTCAAGAACTACAGGAAACGTTTGACCTCTGTAATTGCAAATAAAGGCTTCTGTACCAAATATTAACACTGATTTTCTCAGGTGTTCAAATACTTATGTGCACCAGTGCAATACAAATAAATTCTTTAAAAATCATACAATGTGATTTCCTGATTATTTTTTTTAAAATGCTGTCTCTCACACTGGGGAATGCACCTACAATGTGAATTTCAGACCCCTCCATGATTTCTAAGAGGGAGAACTAATAACTAATAGTGCAGTCTTTGTTTTGTCGTCCAGACCTTGGCACAGGTCTGGACGGTGAAGGATCAGGATCACTTATATTGGAATCTGCATCTGTTTAGAAATGGAAAGGTCCAAGATAAAGCTGAGACCTTTCCAACTTTTGTAAATCAACAATTCTTCTTAGGTCTTCACTGAGTTTCATGCACTTTCCTATTCTTTTAGGTATTGGTTAATCCAATGAGGACTGCCAATTTGTTTTTTTTTAAACGGTGAAATAAATTCTTTTTTAAAATAAATCTGGTGGGAAAGAGAAATTACCAGTTGTAATTAATAGGCCTTGGCTTTGTCACATTAGGAAACCATCCAATTCCTAATGCAGAACCATCCGCACCACTTCTTACAATTTTAAGTGAAAAAATATGTGACTTCCTGCTCTGTACAGGACGGCGAGATTGATGCAGAGGAACTCCAGAGATGTCTGACTCAAGCTGGTTTTACTGGCAGCTACAGTCGTAAGTTTACTGCTTTCTCTTTAACTAAAGAGGTCGATGCTTGAATTATGCTTTTACACAATTTCTGTTTTAATTTTGAAGGGCAGTTTATATCTCCAATATCGAGCTAAAAGTTCCAGCTAAGTGGGCCCTTTAAATATTTGTTACTGAGAGCAAATTTTACTGAGAAACTGAGGAATTTTCACTGTCACAGCTTGGATTTTATAAATGTACACTTTTTTTGTGAAGTCTTGTTTGTGGACTGTTCATTGCATATCATTAATACGCACCTATGTTTATGTGTATTTAAAAGGGACAGATTAATTAGCAATTAATATGCCAGGTCTTTCCTGGCAGGTTGATGACATATAAAATTAATCAACAAAAGCAAACATTCAGACACATGTGAGCAATAAGTATGAGCAAAAAGGACAAAAACACGTAGGCGACTTTCCGTGAGATTACTTCACATCATGAAACCTGCTGAATTAACCAACAGTAATAACTTTCTAAAGCCGTCCTCTGGCCCGCCCCCTTAGGGCAGCTCTCACATGTTTATACATGTAGTTCCACACAGTGCTGAGCTCGAAGAGAGAAGTGAAAGGTTCAAACAATTATTGAAACACCCCAGAGTTAAGAGGAAGGATGAGGTTAACACACGTTGCAAGAATGTAACTGCGCATGTGAAAGTTTGGTCATAAAACATACATTTTTACAGAAAAGTCACATTTATGAAAACCTTCTGTTGGCTCTAATATTTGACTTAGAAGATGCTGAAGCTGTACAGTTCTACCATTTTTGGAGTATAGCGTGTTGCATTTGATCTTCATAGCCACTGGTCTATTGCTCACTGGATGGTTGACTGTCTATTATAAAGAAGGTAGTGAATGACAGATGAGTGATTTTGGACACAGCTACTGTATCTGTAGTGATTGGTTAACAGGTTTAAAATAGTGATTCAGTAAGTAAATTATCTGCAGCAGTTTTTGTTGTGAGCTAACAAGTAATCTATATCACCACCTAGGGCTGCTCAATTAATCGAATTTTAATCACGATTACGATCTGGGCTTTTAATGATCATTAAAAATGACTGAGCCGATTATTAGCCCCTCCCTTGTGCTTTACTCTGGTGCTGCTCCGTGTGGCAAATCAAGCGCACCTCTCTGCATTTCGAACAGGCGTCACAACAATTAAGAGGACCCGAGGGAAGCTCGGAAAGCTAAGCAGAAGTTATTTGGGGAGGAGAGTGACTGCCGTTGGTTGAAAAGAGAAGTAAAAAAACCCCAAAAACTTCAGTGGTGTGGAAACATTATGGGTTCGCGGAGTCAGACGTGGATCAAGTAGACATAGTGTGTAAACGTTGCTACAGCATCGTAGCTGCACCACAGAGCAACACTGCAAAGTTCACTAAACATAGATGTTTACATTTTTCATTTATTTCTTATATTGCAAACATTTGCACTGTTATCAGTATTTGCACACTATTTTATATTATTTTTTAAAGTCATTATTCAATACATTGTTATTGTTAACCCTTTAAAGCCGGTCAGAGCAGCACGCTCTGTTTTGTGTAACTATTTTTAAATCCCTGTAGAACCTGAACCGCGTAAGCTAGCGCAATAATTTTTTTGCATATGAAACTTAAATCTTATGCCATCAGCTTGTCCTAAGTCACGGTTTCCTTCCACATAAAGCTTTGCAAAAATTGCATAAAAAGCGCTTGCAGGAACAAAAACATAATATTCCAGAAACACGCTTTGCCAATCCGATCAGCTGTTCGTAACACTTCCCACAATGAAAAAGATGTCAACGCGAACTATCGCATGTCCGCCATTTCCTGTCCGAAACCGGAAGTGACGTCATTTTCACGGAAAATGTCGTTTTTTTACTTGTAGGCCTTAAAAGCCTATACTGGTGTTTTTATAAGTCATGTTTGACTTTTCTGAATAGTTTCTGGGATGCTTAGAACTCGAATTGCAGTGCTGGAAATAGTTTATTTTGATGCACCTGCTGTTTTCTTTGCAAATTTGCATCATAGGATTGTTTTTTGTTTTTCCTGCAGTATATAAAAATTGCTGTATCTCCAAAATAAAACTATGAAGACACTTAAACTAAATTTCCTGTTGTTGTAAACTATTTTTTGCAACTTTTTTGTATTTAAAGTTTTGAGGGATAAACCTCTTAAATTTCTCCAAGTAGAAATATATGTAAAAAAAACAAAACAAAAACGATTTTCAATTTTTTTGTAGTTTATTGCACTTTTTTGCAATTAATGTAATTACTATGGACTTAATGCATACATATTATTAAAATATGGGCTATTGATGTATAGCAACTTGAAATGCTCCCACAAATGGCACTACAACATGTAAAAAAATAATATAAGCTCTGGCGGACTTGGTTCTATGGTAGGTCTTAAAGGGTTAAATAAATATCGTCAAATAATCGAGATCTCAATTTCAGTGAAAATAATTGTGATTATCATTTTTGCCATAATCGAGCAGCCCTATCACCACCAGCTTTTTCACAAGAGCAAATACTAGTTTAGAGCTTTATTGAGAAACCTTGTAGGAGTCATACGATTTGGAGTCACATGGAACTTCTTTTAGGAGCTTCCTAAATCCAGACCTTATCTTGGGATGCTTTGAGTATGGTATTAGCTCTGAAAGTTGCTTTCAACCACCAGGCAGTACTTTTGTGTTATCTTTAAAATGAAAATAAAAATGTTGCCTCAAGTAATTTCTAACATGTGTATTATCTTTACAGCCTTCAGCCTGGACACATGCAGGATCATGATTGCAATGCTAGATGTATCCTTTTTTGTACAGTATCTTTGGTCTAAGTAGCTGCAATATGCTGCTCGTCATATCCTAATCAAACTTTTCAGGTGAAATTCCTCAGGTTTATAGCAGGCGTGACTCAACCTTTGCTTTGTTATAGCAATTACTGTCCTCATATCTGCGCTTAAATCTTAACCAACCTGTCACCAGAGAGACTTGACAGGCAAGATGGGCTTCAATGAGTTTAAGGAGCTGTTTTCCGCTCTCAACGGCTGGAAGCAGAACTTCATGATGTTTGACCGGGATCGAAGTGGAACTGTAGAACCTCACGAGATGACTCAGGCTATCAACGCCATGGGTGAGAGTCCTAACATTTCAGCATCAGATACTTAATGGCTAATATCATCTTTAATTTAGTGACACTTAATTAGACCTAATAATATGTGACTGGTTTTTACTGGAGTTACCACTTGGCCCTCACAGTGAGAAGGTTCTGGTCTCCAGCCTTCAGGCTTCTCTGCTTGGAGTCTGCATGTTCTCCCTGTGCCAGTGTAGGTTTATCTGGGTACTCCGACTTCCTTGGGCAGTGCAAAGACAGGCATGTAAGGTTAATTTGCGTTTCTAAATTGGCCATATTTATGAATGTAAAGCGGATAAAGCTTTTAAACTGTATAGAATAAAGTACATTCAGTATGACTTATAAAGCCACAGAATAATGCTATAAACAGACGATTCCATAACAGCAGGCCTTAATCTTGAGTCACAGTACTACGAAATGCTGGTGATAATGGTTTTCATCATTATTAAATCTTTCAATTATTGTAAAAAAAATCTATTTATCTATACTTATCTATCTGTCTATGAAGTGCTTTGCAGCTTTCTTGCAAAAGACAGCAGTGAAGCACTTGCTTCCACTATGATGAAAGAATAAAATATTGAACTTTATTTTGCTCATAGGAGTGTTCTTTTGATTTCAAATCTAGTAAATTATTTCACAGTGACACAACTTTTGACCAGCAGATTGACAGGAATGATGAGCCTGATATTGTCGCCCCCCCCCCCCCCCCCCCCCCCCCTTTTTTTTTTTTTTTAAGGCTACCGCATCAGTCCACAGGCCCTGAATGCTATTCTCAAGCGATACAACAAAGGGGGCAGGGTCTTCTTCGATGACTATGTGGCCTGCTGTGTGAAACTCCGAGCTCTCACAGGTATGAGAAGACAGACAAGGTCTGACATGTTCAGTGATCAGCCATTGCAAACGCAGACATGGCTTTCATTTCACCTGTATTCCCCTGCTGTTCGCTGTAGTGTGCTGCAATGTTCTACTTTGCTCCATCCTTACGTCTGAGTCACGAAGCAGCAAGAAATTAGTTTTATTGAAATCATGACCCTGATCTTACTCTGCCTGTTACAGACAACTTCAGGCAGAGAGATGTCATGCAGCAGGGATCTGTCACCTTCCAATATGATGATGTAAGTATTTTTTATGTCCGGTGTTCCAATTTAGCTCTGCCCGAATCTGCTCAGATCACCTGGTTGCTGTGTTTGTGGTGTTCCAAACACCTGTGTTACCCATGCAGGAAAAAAAAGATTTCTCCAGTCTTACTCTATTTTATTTTATTTATTTATTTTCCTGTCCTAATCCCCAGTCATGGCCATATCACAGTCCAAGTTAAGCCCTTTGCAGACATGAATAGGCAGGATTTGGCCAGCATTATAGACATTTTTCATCGGTTGTGAGTTTGGTGCACTATTCTTACATAAGCACAACGTAAACTTAACAGTAGAAAGTTACAAGGTTAAAGATCCATTTAAACTAGGGCTGCTCGATTATGGCAAAAATGATAATCACGATTATTTTCACTGAAATTGAGATCTCAATTATTTGACGATATTAATTTAACCCTTTAAGACCTACCATAGAACCAAGTCCGTCAGAGCTTATATTATTTTTTTTATTTTTATTTTTTATTTATTTATTTATTTATTTTTACATGTTGTAGTGCCATTTTTGGGAGCATTTCAAGTTGCTATACATCAATACAACTGTTATAGCCCATATTTTAATAATATGTATGCATTAAGTCCATAGTAATTACATTAATTACAAAAAAAGTGCAATAAACTACAAAAAAATTGAAAATCGTTTTTGTCATTACATATATTTCTACTTGGGGAAATTTAAGAGTTTTATCCCTCAAAACTTTAAATACAAAAAGGTTGCAAAAAATAGTTTCCCACCACAGTAAATTTATTTTGAGTGTCTTCATAGTTTTATTTTGGAGATACAGCAATTTTTATATACTGCAGGAAAAACAAAAAACAATCCTATGATGCAAATTTGCAAAGAAAACAGCATGTGCATCAAAATAAACTATTTCCAGCAGTGCAATTCGAGTTCTAAGCATCCCAGAAACTATTCAGAAAAGTCAAACATGACTTATAAAAACACCAGTATAGGCTTTTAAGGCCTACAAGTAAAAAAACGTCATTTTCATGGAAAATGACGTTTTTTCCCTTCCGGTTTCGGACAGGAAATGGCGGACATGTGATAGTTCGCGTTGACATCTTTTTCATTGTGGGAAGTGTTACGAACAGCTGATCGGATTGGCAAAGCGTGTTTCTGGAATATTATGTTTTTGTTCCTGCAAGTGCTTTTTATGCAATTTTTGCAAAGCTTTATGTGGAAGGAAACCGTGACCTAGGACAAGCTGATGGCATAAGATGTAAGTACAATTCCTCCGGTTTCATATGCAAAACAAATTATTGCGCTAGCTTACACGTTTCAGGTTCTACAAGGATTTAAAGGGTTAACAATAACAATGTATTGAATAATGACTTTAAAAAATAATATAAAATAGTGTGCAAATACTGATAACAGTGCAAATGTTTGCAATATAAAAAATAAATGAAAAATGTAAACATCTACGTTTAGTGAACTTTGCAGTGTTGCTCTGTGGCGCAGCTACGACACTGTAGCAAAGTTTACACACTATGTCTACTTGATCCACGTCAAGTAGAACCCATAATGTTTCCACACCACTGAAGTTTTTTTTTTTTTTTACCTCTCTTTTCAACCAACGGCAGTCACTCTCCTCCCCAAATAACTTCTGCTTAGCTTTCCGAGCTTCCCTTGGGTCTTCTTAATTGTTGTGACAGGTGTTGGAAATGCAGAGAGGTGCGCTTGATTTGCCACACGGAGCAGCGCGAGAGTAAAGCACAAGGGAGGGGCTAATAATCGGCTCAGTCATTTTTAATGATCGTTGAAAGCCCAGATCGTAATCGTGATTAAAATTCGATTAATTGAGCAGCCCTAACTTAAACCTGATCTCACTATATCTGACTTGCTTTTTCATATGCACTTTTTCAAGCAATGTGTAGAAAACTTAAGAACTACAGTGATAGTCCCCTCCTCACCTATACCCTTTATCGCTCTGGAGCTTTTCCGTTGCACTGACAGGGCTCCGAGAAACTATCATAGAGGTTTTGTCCTTGCACACCTGTACACCCACGGTGTGAAATGTTCTCAGCATGACAAACAAAAGCACGCTGTGCAGAGGGCCCAGGACGTGTTTGCAAGCTGTGGGATCCTGCAGCAGTTGGGGGTTTGCTAGCATCTTGCTGTAGCTTTAAAAAGCATTTCCTGTTGAGTTGTTGTGGATGACCACATTTACCACTCTTCCCCCTCTTGTTGACAGTTTATCCTGTGCACAATGGCCATCTAAGTGCTGTCGTCTGTCCCAATCCACGAGGGCAAGCTGTTTGTGTGCCAATCAGAACCTAATTCTGGATTATTGTCTCACGGGAATGCAAGGGAAGGCCAGTATACTAAGACTGTGCAGCAACAGAAAATTCACCCACTGCTTGTAATGCTTACTATAATGCATTAATTGTGTATTTTACACAGGGATGTGCTGAAGATGTACACACATATTATAAATCAGCATTGAAGGGCAATATTTTAAAGCCTGTAATAGAAATGTTTGTCTTTCAAAATAAGGGCACAAATATTATAATCTTTTAAGTTTATTAAAAAAAAATGTAATCTCATAAAATCTGCATGTAGTGGCTTTAAAGGGCTTCATCATAAACACCTTTTTGGATTTGGACTTCAAAAATACATTTTTTATTTAGGATGATTTCCAAGAGATTTTTTTCAATAACCAAACACCTGTTTTAACAGAAATTGTAAGATATGCTAACAACGTATCGCTGTTAAAAAGATGCTCTGATGTGCCATTAGACTTTCTGAATTTACGCTCCAAACACCTTTTGTTGGACTTACAGGAAGTGCATCACGAGTCACGATTGATTGTTGTTACAAAGAACATGTTCATTTGCTTTTTATATTAAATGTTTGACAGTAATGGATTTTGTCAGCTGCTGTTTTCTCATTTCCCCAATCTAATGTATACCTCTGTTTTATACAATTTACAAAACCAGATGCATATAAATTAAATTTACCAAGCAGTCAGTGATGACTGTGTGTTGGAAAAGTAGAGTGAGATCTGCAGTCTGTTCAAAAATGTTCATGTGTTTGAGATTTTCCAGCTGGGAATGTTTCAGCTTTTCCCCTTCGTCCATTGACAGCATTTTTGGAAAATCAGAATAACGACTTTTAATCAGCAAGCATTCTGTTTATTTATTTATACAACTGCGAATCCCCGCCCCCCAAGACTATTTACACAATACACTTTATTTCTTTAAATATAGTTAACAGAAACATTCAAATTAGCTGTTAAGTGTTGCATTGTATAAAATACAGTGGCAAACATTTAAAAAAAATGCATAAAAACAATTGTGAACAGCACTAGATTTAAAAAGTGACATATCGAGTACAGCAAGTTTTCTAATCTCTGTGCAAAAGTCTGCAAATCCCAAGAAAGTTCATTAGATGCCTCTTCAGGTGTTGGACATGTCAAGTTTTGTTCTACACATGTGCTTGAGAAAGAAAGCTTATCCAAAAAAAGCAGGAAACATTTGTATCGTCCTGTAAAGATCTTTAATCTCACCCATGTTAATTGTATATTATCTCACCACTTGGTTCTTCTGGAAGGATAAATCTGATTTCATCATTTCTCTCATATCTCACCAAGTTTTTGATCACGTCTACATGTATTATTGAGTGGTTTGGAGTCAAAGGATCAAATGCAAGCCAGGCTCTCTTCAGAGAACAGCGAAGTTCTGGGTTTGAACTTGCTTGTTTCAACATACCAAATGATCAGAGAGAAAGGTCCAAGTAAAAACTGGGGGGAAAAAAATCATCAAATCAATGTGCAAAAAATCAAGACAAACTCTGTGCGCCTTCAGTGTTGCCCATCTCTGCTTGCTACATTGAGAGGCTACGCATGACATTAATCATCATCATCGTCCCAGCAGTAGTCCACAGCATTCCAACCGAGAGCAGGGCTTTTGGAAACAAACAAGGTACATAGAAAAATAATGGCAAATTAATACTTTGTTTTAGAAAAATAGATGTAACTGTTATTTCCAAGTCTCTGCGGATGAGTCGTGTGCTGTAATTACAGATCAATACGTGTCACGCAGACCTTTTTATAATTGTTTCAAGTGCAGTCTCCATGCAATACACGAGCTTGTGCTGGACTTTATGTAGTTAGAAAACTAAAAGGACTAATTCTCATAATGCAATCTAATCTAAAACGGTTTGGTACATTTACATTTGTGGATAAACAGATTTTTGGTGTGTCGGACTGATGTTTGTAAAGGCTAGAGCAGGCGAATAAAGCTAAGGCCGTTTGGAGGCTGAGCTCTGTCCTCAGCATAAAATACATGAAATAAACCTTGTTTAAGATGATTGTTTAATCATCATGCTTTGTTAACGTTCACATAGGAAATGTTATTTTAGGAGTATAATGGAAGACGTAAAGCATGCAACTGAATGAAACTAGCCTCCAGCAGTTCCTTCCAGCTTTCAAGAGAATTTGGGACGCTGGTTCCTGTCAAGCAGTCTCATTCTCAAACACTTGAAGGACTTTTATGTCAAGGAAATCAGTTTAGGAGTTTTAATTATTTCTAAAACATTTATTTTCTGTGACAAAATGACAAATGGAGCTCTTCGTTTGAAAGAATAATACCAAGTTAAGATGAATTTGAATAGGTGTAAACGCAAAGTTCACTTTATCTGATGTATCCAGATACAGATAATTCATAAGAAATCATGTATGTGTGCACAAAAACTGAAATGTGTACACATATTCTCACATATTCTTTTCTTCTTGTATGAACCGGGCATGTGTATTAGGAAAATTACCTTCTTAAACCATGAATGGATTTAGCCGATCCTGTCACTGATCTTTTGTATACAAAAACTCTGGATCTTGTGTGAAACACTCACTTGTGGGAACTGTGTTCTGTTGGTCTCAGTTCTACAATCAGAAACAGATCAGCAGAAGCTAGAGCTCTGTATGTGTAAAGCAAAGGGCAGCAGGTGCAAGGGTAAAAAAAAAGAAAAGAAGAATACCAAGGCATCAATAAGGTCCTCCAATAAGCCCCATCCTTATGTATAACCACTACACACTATTATTGTTATTTATAGCTCTCACATCAAAAGCATTTACCAGATTTAGTGTTGCTCAGTCACGCTAGAGTGTAAATAGGGCAACAACCTTGGTTGCCCTGTGATTGCACTGAATCGTGAAGCACCTTCAAGCTTCAAATAGGGCAGCGACCCATCTCCAAACAGGAAATGTGGACTGATCCTCTCACACAAATTGGCAAAGGTTTGCATATAATTGTTAAGTTAGGAATAAAGTCAGACTACAAACATGTTGCAATGAGGCAACGTGTCAATATGAGCAACTCTCCTGTGATGAGTCTCTGCAACAGCCCACTCGACTCAACTGGTTGCTGCTAGTTGTATACTGATTATATTCCTGTATCAGAGCCTGTCATTTTGCAGTTATTCTGCTATATTGCAAAAACAATTTATGGAGGAATTTCTGTTTTAAAAACATAATGTTCTGGCTGGACTCTGAATCTACATAGCTAATGTGAATTTCTATTTACTTTCTGTGCAACAGATTAGCAGTTTTGACTAATTCCTCACAGATAACTGCAGTAGTGTTCCCAGACCTGGTCCTATCTTCGAAACAACTATTTCAGAGGCAATAAGATCCCAAGGTTGCAGTAATTTTGGTCACACCACAATCTCCACCCACTGTTTTCTACAGTGTGATATTAATTAAATAATAAGAAATTTAAACTCCGGGACACTTTCTTTTGTTTTATTTCCATCACATTATTACTGATCTCCATGTCAGCAAGTCAAGCTTGACTTACTCTGAGAAAACCATGTGTACGCATGTTCTGAAGTGTGTTTGACTCATCCTTTGTCCGGCTTTTTCATGCATATTCATGGTTTATATATTTGGCTACTGGTAAAAGTTGGATTTGTGTGTGTGTGTGTGTGTGTGTGTGTGTGTGTGTGTGTGTGTGTGTGTGTGGCTATGGGAACGCTAATACCTGAAACACAGCGCGGCTCTGTGTGTGTGCGTGGGAACGTGTGTGTGTGTGTGTGTGTGTGTGCGTGTGTGTTTTTTATAAATGGACTAGCTTAATAAGCTACAGGAATTATTGTTGGTGAATTATCCTGAAAAGACTGGAAAAAACAACAAATTTTGTGAACTTTCTGTCACAAACAGCCATCAAAGATTCATGCTGACTTTTGTCAGTGTCTCGTTGATCACTACCAAAATAGAATAGGACAAGCAGACAGTGAGCTGTGCTTCACACTGTAAACCATCACAGAAAAAAAACTTGTCCAAACAGCCTTGACATAAATGTCCTTCATGTTTTTGACTTCCTCAGGGTGTTAATCATCTTCATGTTGTGGTCTTAATTTTTGTTTGTTTCTAATAATTAAAGTGAGCTAAAATGTGTGAAGCTTTACATCAGGTTTGCTCTATACAAGTAAATTCATCCACAGCACAAACGCTATGTTCTTCAGCTCATAGATGATTATTTCCAGAATGTATTTAACTCTAGAAACATACCAGAAAATCCACTGTGGCTCCTCATCGTTACATCATTATTGCTTTCAAAGACTGGCAAAGTTGTCATTGTGCTATGGGACATCAGAGCAGCCTCTACACACTCTAATATTACATCCTGTAATAGGGGCTGAATAACTGGTTTTTCATATGTCATGGCAATGTGGTGTACATTAGGCACGCTAAACATACAGACAGCTCTCCTTGCCAATATGCGACTGCACCAATTTATTTGGAGCTTGAAAGCTGTGGAGTGAAATATAAACTTAGCACAAAAAGTAAGGAAGTTTGTGTTTGGCTAATTGTATCAGTGATTGTTTATTTCCCCTTAAATGGTGCCACATTTGTAAGGAAAATGCATTTGTGGGTTGAGCAGCAAAGTTAAGTATGTGGTTGCTTGCCAAACAGCTTATTCTGTGACCAACACAACCACTTTGGCTGACTTGGGTCAAATGGTGGTTGTAAAATGGGACACCAGCGCACAGCACTGTGCTACCAAGCTGGTGACTAGGATGAGGAGGAGGTGGAAGGCGAGGCCCCTGTTTTATAATGAACAAATTGTCAATATTTCTTGTTTCTTCGCACTTCAGTCATTTAATTCAATAAACAACACCAAACAAGACAACAGATAAACTGGTTTGGCGTGTTTTTCATAGTTTCAACCACTTGCTCAACACTGCTGCTCAACCCACAAATGCATTTTCCTTACAAATGTGGCACTATTTAAAGGGAAATAAACAAGCGTTCCAACAGTATAACATTTATTAGCAAGAAGGATTATTACAACAAAGAAATAATTGACCAAACACAAATTTCCATACTTTTTGTGCTAAGTTTAGAAATGCCTTGGAAAGAGTTTCAAGTAGCTTTGTTCCCTGTGAGGAGGGAAGAGTGGTGGAAAATGAGAGTGGAAAGCTACAGTCTGTGTGCAGTCTGTGAGCGTGCTGAGGCCACCCCTGAATGAATGGTGGTTTGCACTGTGTGTGAGGAACATGCAACAGAAGACAACATGAGAAAAAAAAAATCATGCATATCTTTTCGGAAGAGCACATTAGGTGCCTTGAGTTGCTGGCAGTGTTCTATTTCAACTATGTACATGGTAGATGATGACTTTACACGTGGAAGTAATATAGTGTATAAATACCTCTGTATAAATGGATTTTATACATCTAAATTGGAGCACAGGGCAGGGACGGAGGAGGGAGCTAGGGGGTTTTCTCAAAAGGAATGGAAGAAAGTCTACAGTTTCTTTTAACCTTTGCATATTTAGTCTCTTTCTTAAACCCTGAGTCAAGCTTTAGAAATAACCTTCAGTCATTGTCGAAGGGTTTGGAGTGGGGGGTGGGGGCTACATCCCTGGAAGCCCCGGGTCGGAGACTGGCCTGTGGAGTCCCAACATTCCTGAGCTGCTGGGGACATCTGGTAGAGAGGCTTGCCGGCTTGATGGGAAATTCAGTGGATGTTGGTGGTGCTGCTGCTCTGCTGAGTCTAGGATGTCTCTCTGCTCAGTGTTGGTGTTATTCTCAAGCAGTCCAGCTAAGTCCCCATTGGGATGAGTCTCTGCATGGAGAAGGACTGGGGAGGTTTCTTTGGATGTGTTCAGGGCTCTCTCTGAGCCGGGGCTCTGGGGATGGAACAGTACAGTGGAAATCCACAGAAATTAAAGAAAGACTACACACAGCAAGCGACTTTCTATCACATGATATAAACCCCTGACAGCCGGTCAACGTAGGAGTGGTTTTTGGTAGTTCTTTCCAAGGCTTTATCTCACTTACTTTCTTATTAGTTTTAATAAATAATAAAAATTAAATTAAATTTAAATTTTACTGTGAATTTTGTCCTTCCATATAGGTGCTCTCCTGCACTATTTCAACACTGCTTTCATAAATATCCACCTATAATACAAAACCTATAATAACAGGAGATGAAAAATTTTATTTGCTGTCCAGTAGCCTCTTTATTTATATGCCACTACTACATGCCATTAACTTTTTCTACTCTCTGTGATTCGTTCTGTTTGTTGTCTTTCTGCTCCTGTTTTCTCTCTTGTTTTTTACGTCACCTGATGGCTGCCCTCTCCTGAACCTGGTCCTCCTGGGAGGTTTATCCTGTTTTTAAAAAAAAAGAAAAAAAAAAGGAATTCTTCCTCCCCACCATCACCAGTGCTTTGCTCATAGGACACACAAGGGCAAAATATGGCTTGAGGTTCAGAACTGGCACATGGAGCTTCCTAATCAGGCTCCTGATGTCCTAAAACTAAAAACTAAAAACAAAACAAAACAAAACAAAAACAAAAAACAGTTAGTAGATATCATGGCGAATGACTGAAATGAGTCCATCCTGCTCGATTTAAACAAGAAAGTGCAATAGTGCAAAAAAGTCAATGTGGCCTTTTGAAAACAAACGCTTCTGATGCTCGTCACAGGAGATTGCTGGTTCATAAGGATAGTATTATTAATAAATCTTATATAATTTCAGGCTATTTACCTTCAAATGTAAAAGGACCGTGAACTGTGAACTGCTGCCACAAATAAATCAAACTGGATTTAATGGAATAAAAGATCAATATTTAATATTATTTTGAAGGGCAAGCTGCTCCAACTTTACAACAGCAGCACGCTGAGTGATGACGGGCAAAATCCACTGGTGTTCTCTGATTTGTGTAACGCAGAGCTCCATCACAGCTAACCAGTTTGCTCTACTATGCTCCAAAATAACTCCTGATGTTTTCCTTGCTGACCTGTGATGGAGGGACCGTAACATGAACAGCAGGTTATGTACTGTGTAATCTTTGCTTTAAGTAAACATTAAGTAAATGTAGAGGAAATGACCCCTTTAAGCTCTTTTTGGTAAGGTAGTTGCTATTTGGTTTGACTTTTGGTAACTGTTATTTAATTATATAATAATTACAAAAAAACCCCAAACAACACAAAAACTATGATTGGAATTCATCAACAAGAATCTTAAGATTATACAGATTTGAAATTTACCACAAAAACGGAGCCAAAGCTATTGTAAAACAGTGTGACAACCAGCTGAAAACCGTGGCAGTGTTAGGGAAAATCAGCGTTTCCACTCATTAAGCTTCTGCTGTACCTGCGGCTGGGATGGAGCAGGGCTCACATCGATGGCAGACACCAGCTGGATCCTGACGGCTGGCCTCTGGTACTCTGGGCTGGAGGTGACGGTGCTATAAGCTGGAGGACCGGCTGCTGTTTGCCTCTGAAGGAGCTGCAGGATAGCCTGGATGTCTGCAGTCATCTGGGACTCAAGTCTGATGGCCACAAAACATGAAATAAACTGAAAAGCAGCATGACAGTGGTTCCATTTTGGATGCTGTAGATCTTTGTGTTTCATTAGAGAAAACACATCTGAAGGAAATATATTAGCAGAACAAAAGTTCACTTCAACAAAGTAACAATGAGCCTTGATAGTTGATTGTTTACATCAGGGGAGGGGAACTCCAGGCCTCAAGGGCCTGTGTCCTGCAGGGTTTTAGATGTGTCCTTGATCCAACCCAGCTGATTTAAATGGCGAAATTACCTCCTCAACATGTCTTGAAGTTCTCCAGAGGCCTGATAATGAACTAATCGCTTGATTCAGTTGTGTTGATCCAGGGTGATATCTAAAACCTGTGGGGACACCAGCTCTTGAGGCCTGGAGTTCCCCCATTTTTGATGCTCGACATCAGGGGTGTCAAACAAAATTAATAGGTAATTAGCAAGACTCTATAGAAAGTGGTAACCCCTAACTCTACCTAAGTAAATTTAAATAAATGTAAGTAAATGTAAATGTTTGGAAAAATGTACTTCTAAAAGCGTCTGGACTTCTTTAAGTTGCTTGAAGACGTTTCACCTCTCATCCGAGAAGCTTCTTCAGTTCTAAGGTCAAATGGTGGAGAGTCCCAGATATAAACCTAGTGGGAGTAACCCCCCACTGGGTTTAAATCTTCTTTCCAAGCTCCTTAGACTGCGATGACCTGGATGACTGAGAACCTTCACAGACGTACTTCTAAAAGTACTTTTATTGCGCCATGTTCATTCACTCATAAGCTGCTGTAACATGAATCAAATGGTTCTATAGAACTCTCAATCAAGACTGATTTCCATACTGATGACAAACAGGTGATGAGTTCCTGCTTGATAGTTCTGAGTACACCAGTCAAAAACTTTAATTAAATGAGATCCGAACAAATGAACAGCTGTTATTTCTAAGAGAAGTCTTCTGGTAATGGCTACTCGCTGTTGCTGTGACAGCAAGGAAGACCATTAAAGGTAATCATTACTACACAACATACGGTTACATTGTCACCTTGTTCTCTGAGCGAGAGACTATCTCTCCACTCTGTTACATATTCTATATGTGGGGGTTATACCCCATACATATGGAATATGTAACAGAGTGGAGAGATAGTCTTGATATGATAGAGAACTAAAGTACTCTTACTAAATCCCCAACGTCTGCAGTAATAGTATCAGTGTATCAGTAGTGCAGTTTACTACCAGGATTTTAAAAAATGTATTTGTGTAAATTTCAACAATGAATATGCAGACAGAAAAAGTGTACCACAGTATAGTGCAGTACCATGGATGGAACACTAGAGGGAGCTTTAAAGCTTCCTTCATATAGTAAGGACAATCAAGAGTTTCCCGGTAGTATGATCCTGCTCAAATGCAGAGCCTTCAGGAAGATGAGGAATTCTCAAAGGTGTGACCGAACACATGTAGTGTGTGCATGTATTGATGCATTAAAGATTTCACCAGCAATAAATAAGGAAAGATAATTCAAATATTCTGAGTTGTGTGCTAAAGATATTCGCTAGTGAAAAGTATATTAATTCCCTCTAAAATGAAGTGGAAATGTGAAGTAGTAGATAATGAAGAAGTGCTCCCAGTGCTCAGTTCCCTCACTGTTGTGCCGATTTTGAACCTGATTCTGTGATATCTGCACTTGAAAGTATGAAATCCTCTATAAAAATGAACTGTTTTTCATTTCTCCTGGAGATCGCTGCATCACCTTATGCACCAAGTTACATCATGAGCCACAGGGTGTTAGGTGATGAATCACCTCTTTTCCCCCTGCTTACACACTCCTTTTCTGTCCTTCAGTACAAAATAAAGAGAGTCAGTAAACACAGCGCGCAAAACAGAAGCTTTCCAGTGCAGACTTGAGCACATTGGTACTTTGTCAGGTGAGTGGGGGTTTTTTCACCCAGAGGACAGAGTGGAAGTAAACACTTTGTTTCGGTTCTGCTGTGAGGGTAAATGAGGGTTGGTGGTGCGGTGGCCAAGCCTGCCCATCAACTGAATCAGCATAAATGGCTGAAAGGTATTCAGCAGTGATGAGACCAGCATTTCTACCGAGAGGCAGTGAGCAGAATATTGAAGAAACTCAAGTAGTTCCACCCTTCAATTCATTACTTCATGTGAGATTTGTGAGACAGTTGCTAACAAATGCCATCTCCTTCAATTGGCAACTTTACTGTGACTTCCACAAACCAAACCTCGTAGGATGACGTCGAAACCCTTGCAATTTGTCTGTATCTTGTGGCTCTGCGCTATAAATAGACAGTCGCTAACTGTCTTCCTCCCCCTCATCTGTATCAGTGCACCAGCCCAGAATCACACCAGCTGCTCACATGGTCCACTCTCTGCATTAACACAGCTGCAGTGGGTGTCTGGCCTAAAATGTGTATGCAAGTTTTAGCCAATTATAGGCAGAATTATGGGATTCACATGGCTAGCTCTCAAAGAAGCTGCTGAAAAATACAAAGCCTATTATAGAAAATTGAGTCAAATATGATCCCGGAGGTGTCTTTAGTAATCCAAAGGTTAAGTGCCTGAAAAATCCTGAAATAGCATTCCACTGATTTAGCTCCTGTAACATTGACTAGTGATGGTAAATCTGATTGGCCAGAAGTACTGACCAATAGATTAGTTTAAGTTTCAACCAAAACTGTTCAAAATGTGAAAAAAGCCTGGAAGTTTACATATTGGTGCATTTTTCTTTGTTCCTTTATTTAAAAACAGTACATCCGTGATTTGGCAGTTGCTCCCCAGAAAAAGGATGTGTTATAGTTTTTATGGGATTAACTGAGAAAGCTAGCTTTCTGGTATAAAAATGAGCTATGAGTGGTTTCAACAATGCAAAAAAAGTAGAAGAGATCAAAATGCCGTGGTCTACATAGGAAGAGAAATGGAGAAGGGGGTCAACTTGAAGGAAAAGTATGTGAATAATGTGACCGTGAAGAGGGTTGCAGACAGAATCATGAGTTTGAACCCAGAAATTTAAGGGGTGATGCTGAATGTTGTCAGTGTCACAGGTTGAATATGTCAGTTAGAAGAAGGAATTCTAGAGTAAGTTGGATGAAGCAGTAGAGACTGTTCCCATGGGCGAAAGAGTGGTGATTGGAGTGGACGTCAATAGACATGTAGATGAAAGGAACAGAGGTGATGAGGGCATGCTGTATAGCTATAGTGAGAAATCGAGAAAGACAGACGGTAGTGGATTTTGTGAAATGGACAGAAATGGCTGTAAACACAAAGGGGGGAACATAGGGTGATCTAAGAATGAAGGTTAAACACAAGTGGATTACATCTTATGCAGAAGGGGAATCTGAAATAGAAGACTGCAAAGTTATGTCAGGGGAGAATGTCGCTAGTTAGCATCAGACAGTAGTCTATAGGAAATTACTGTATATTAAGAAGAGGAAGCAAGTACAAATAAAGCTGAGGATGAAAGAATCGTATGCACAGTTTAGGGAGAGAGACCTGCTCTGGTTTGTAGGGAAGTGTTACCGATGAGTGGGAAAGTACAGCTAAAGTACCAAGCCAAGAAGCTGTTTGGTGTACTTGGTGGGGAAATGGAGAAGTGCAGGAATGTATTCAAAGAAATAGGTTAGCTAAGAATAAGTTGAGTAGTCAGAGAGTTGAAGAATGGAGACAGAAGTGACTTGCAGTGACTTCTATGTGATCCTAGGCACTAATGAAGGCGAAAAGGACTTTTACTGACTGGCTAGGCAGAGCGCTTGAGTTGGAAAGGATGTGCAGCATGTTTGGGTGATTAATGATAAATGAAATGAAAAATGAAAAAAAAAATACTTATGCTATATATACTTATATATGTAGATAGTAACGTGTTTAGGACTGACATCATGTTCCATTCTGCTCAGCAGACTTTTGCAGGGACGTTCAGCTTCAGCTCCAGCATTGACTGATAAACTGGTCTTTTCCTGCTGCTGTTGCTATATCGCATTTAGAAATTCACTATTGAGTTTAGCCGCTAAAGTTGCCTGAAGCCTCTGTATCAACGTAATCCTGAGTGTTGACGATACAAAGAGCATTTGCAGTCTTTTGGTTTGACATGACCAACAAGCTGTTTCAAAACCCTTCCCCTTTGCCCTTGCGCACCTGTTGAGGTGCTGCTGCAGCAAGTCTAGACGTTGCTCCACCTCTCCATAGGTGAGCTCTGTGTCACTGTCATCCTCCCTGGCTGGTGTTTCCTGGCAGTGAGCCGACTCCTCCGCAGCCTCACCGGGATGCTGACGCACCCACTCGTCAGGGTGGAGCTCTGGAGGGAAAGACATGCAAGCAGAGATGAATACGCATACACATGCGTGCACAAGAAACGATCTGTGTTATTAGAATGGTTTCTCAGGGAAAGCACTGTATGTGCTGTGCCCTCTCATCATTTAGCTTTACTGAGCTCTGAGCAGCTTACCACCTTCTGATTCCTGACATTTACACTGGAGAGGAAAACACCCATCTGACCCCAGCTTGCATCACAACCTCAGTGGGATTTTCCTGCCTCTCTTTTGGGTTTCTGCTAGAGATTAAATTGACATTTCCTGTGCATTTCTCTCGCCAGTTTGTAAGAATCAATATCACTCTGCTCTCCAGAACAAATCCTCTTACAGCTGTAACATCTGAATTGTGGGATATTATCAAACCAACAGACTGACACAGATTTCCCACGTCAGTGTGGAATCCTGCTGAGTTTGACTTGCAGTTAAAATTCAGGAGCGCCCTGTGCGTGTGTTTATACTAAACCAATTTATGGAGGATTTAAGGTGACTGCAGCTGACTACTGAGATTGCAGATCAAATGAAGTCAGATGCAGCTGTTTATGTGGAAGCTGCATCTGCATCGGAATGCATAGGAGGATTCTGTATCGGTTTGCTGCGCGTTTACAGCCGGTACAGTCCTATTAACAACATTCACATTAACAACATGTTTCCAACAGATCCTTCAGTTTGGCCCAAACCTACAGTCACAAGGGGTGTCCCGAGCCAAGTGCTGGATAAAATCCTCTAACATTTTATTACTGAGTTGGTTTTAGGTTTCAACATGACACATAATCCTTTTTGGGATTTTTAATAGATGTGACAATCCTCCCCTCAGGCTTTTTTAACTGGGGTTTTTTGAATTCTTGAAAATGAACTTCTAAGTTAATTACTTATTCTGGTGTCAACCTTTACAGGGAAAAAACCCCCCAGATTTACAGGAAACTGTGTATTTGAACAATGTCAGTAATTTCCCAGATGTTTCTTTAGTGTTTTATCCACTTGGTTTTTGTTAGAAAAAAACATTTATTTGAATGACAGGAAAGAAATAAAGACTAATCTCTTGTTACTTGATGGAGAGATAAAAAAAAAAAAACCTCTTCATTTGTAGGAACAAATACATCTGACATCTCTGTCACCTTTGTATTCCTGGTTCTGTGCGTTGTCTCCAGCCTGTGTACTGGAAGCACTGTTCAACCCAAGGCCCAGGGCGTGGTCCCTTACCACCGGGTAGCCCAGCACACCAGAACACAAGGGCCTCTGCTCCTCTTCCTCCTCCCTGCCTTCTTCTTCCTCCTCATCCTCATCATTCTCTCCCTCCTCAGCAGACTCTCTCCTCTTCTCAGCTGCCGAGGAAGCATAGATCTGCCTCGTCTGCTTTGTGTTGCAGTAGGTGACCGCAGTCTCCTTGTTGTCCTGGTTGTGGGAGCCTAGGGCACAAAGTGCAGTCAGGAAACCTGCTGGGGGAACACTGACTTCCTCTGGGGATGTGGGGGTTGCCTTTGTTATCTGACAACAGTAGCACGTGTCTTGCTTTGGGATTAAAGTGAGGACAAACAATGTTAAAGCACAATCTAGCCTGTTAATGTTGTGCATTATATCATAATGTGTTCCAAATGTGTGTTTACAAGGCAAGCTTGTTCAGCAGTAATGAATAGTGAACATGAGCTTTTCATTCCAAACTGAAGTGAGGTCTAAATCTTCACACCTGATGGATGCAGGCAAGATATGCCAGCTGCTAGACTGTGAAATGGACCATTAGCTACTTTCTCTGTCCCTACTTGTGTTATACTGTGAGATGGTGACACCAGTGACAGAGGACTCGTAACCATGGTGACCAATTAGATTAAATTAAAGATATTCCACCTCACGTACGAAGTACTGAATGATGATGAAGCATTATATTTTTAAAATCTCTTAGTATCAACTGTTGCCAGAAGAGCTCTTCACTCTCATACTGCAGACTTGTTTGTGTATTTTATTTTACAGTCGACTAGGAGGCAGCGCCTTCAGCTACTGGATCTCTATTCTGTGAAACTAGCTCCCAGTTTGGATTTAAGAGACAGACATGCTCCCTACTTTTCATATTAAGCTTTAAACTCTTCTTTTTCCTACAGGTTATGAGTAAGTCTATTGGCTCAAAATGAGGTCATAAATATTTTGTACTTGTAAATCAGGATTTGTATGTGTAAAAAAGATTTGTGTGTGGACTTAGCCAAAAAAACCCCTGCAAGTTACAAGTACGAATTTTGACCCTATTTTTCTTTCTTTCATCTGATTGGTCAATGTCATGTCAATCACAAATGTAACAATCCAATCAGAGAACAGATGGGTTTGGCTGTCTGAGGGGTGCTTTTTTTGAACTGCAGGTCTTTACAAGTACAAAATATTTTTGACCACATTTTGAGCCCATATAAGTCTGGATCTGGATATCCAAACAAGTTATGCTACTATAGGCTCTGCTGGGAGATGCACTGAGCACTTATCTATTCTCACCTCCCCCCATTTTCCCCATTTGTTGTTTGTAGCCTCTCTGTGCTCTTCTTTCCACTCATCTCTTCCCCCTCACTCCAACCAGTCAACATATGGCTGCACCTCCCTGAGCCTGGTTCAGCCAGAGGCCTCTTCCTGTTAAAATGGTCTGTCAGATTGTTGAGGTTCTCTTTTTGTATGTTGTTGCCAGTGACAGTGACAAAAGATGGATTAATTAATGTAGTTTAATGAAATTGTTTAGACTTCTCTGTATTTTAAATTCTGTCATGCGTGAGCTTCAGAAAAGTACAAAACAAGTCCAGCTTGTCAGTGCCGAGCACTTTCACAATGCATTAACAGTGCCGCAGCAAATAGGAAGGTTCAGTTTGTATGATTGAGGTTCAGTTTGTATGATTGAGCATGACTGCACAAAGAAACCTAATATAACCCAGCCTAACTGAAAGCAAACATTCTTTATTAAAGTATCTTTTCTGAAAATAAGCTTATTTTATTTTATAAACCTCCCCTTTTATTAACATTGAGGCTGTCATTGCACTTGAGTCAGCACACATTCATGAGAAGGGGCTAGGAATGAGGAAGCGCAGCTTTGGCAAGTTAAATGGAGCATCAGTGGGTTTCAGTGTAACTCAAACACCACCTGGAGGCATCGTTGCGTAGACATGTTTATTTAAAATACTGTCCTGAGAATCAAAAATGTTTGTAGGAAAAACCGAATTTGCAGCTAAGGTCACCATGACTTCCTACAGAGTGGACGGTGTGCCAAAAGGCCACCGTGTGATAACTAAATGTTGAATTCTTGAAGACATTCAACACATCCAAAGCATAGAAAAACACATCACCCAAAATTCATTCTCATTAGCCCTCATGAGTTTCTGACCTGACACAGGGAGGTCACATGCTTTGCTAAGACATCAGGCAACTCTGATTTGCCTGCTGTCTTCCTTTTAAGGCACAGTTTCAATACTGTTATTTGGTTAAGTGATCAGATTGGATTTGTGTGTCTACATGTCGCCCAGCTATCTGAATGAGTTGCTATGGTAACAGTGTAATAAGTAAGCAGCTCTGCATGTGTACCTTGTCCTTTGCGTGCTGTGTTTTGCATGACAAAAGACGCTTTGTAAACTGACTTTAGCATCCACACTGACACACTTCTCTAGAAATGTCCAAATGTGGTTTCAATCCACTTAAAAAAAATGCTGGAATCTTTCTGGATACAATATAGATGTGCTAAAAATAGGTCTGAGAAAGGCTTCACACTCAGCTCCACCTAGGCTCTGTGCACAGGTACATGTATAGGAAAATGACTTCATTTGAATGTGAGTCTCTGTGATAGGTACAGGTATGTGAAACATCAGTCACAGAAAAAAAAACATGAAATAAGGCTAAACAGAGAGTGTAACAGTGGTTTTGGAGATCATTTCTCTCAAACTATGCTGACAATTCAATACCCAAACTTTGGTCATTTAGTCATAAGATCCATAATTGCAGCTGCTGTTGCTCGGATGAAAGGCTCACTGTTAATTATTAATAAAAGCTACTTTCAGATGCTCCCTTACTCACAAGGGTCACCTCAGCAGGTAGTTCCATATTTGATTCGGCAGATTTACATGCTGTGTGTCTCTCTTTTATACAAGTCCAAACAGATCTGTGTCTAAAACAGTGAAAAGAATTTGCAGACTTTAGACTTACAGTTTAAAGTGATTGTCAGATTTTATATGTAAGATTTATGACTAAGTTTTCAGAAGTTGATCAAATGAAAGTAAATAAATTAAAACTGAGAGAATGTTCACATTACTCTGTCATTAATCTGACAATCCCCGGTGAGGAAGGACAGGGCAGGAGTATTAGGAAAACTCTGTTTTAACAGGAAGACTTCCAGCATAGCCAGGCTCAGGTAGGTGCTGTCACCTGCTGAGGCCAGGTGAGTCATAAGGAGAAAGACAAGATGAACAAAGAGCAACCACCAACAACAACAAGCAGGTAACAAGACAAAACAAACACACACAATCTTCTGGAAGTCCAAGCCTATAGCCCAGGGGTGTCGAACTCCAGGCCTCCAGGTCCAGTGTCCTGCAGGTTTTAGATCTCACCCTGGGTCAACACACCTGAATCATTTAAACCAGTCCTCTGGAGAACTTCAAGATATGTTGAGGAGGTAATTTAGCCATTTAAGTCAGCTGTGTTGGATCAAGGACACATCTAAAACCTGAATAACTAAAAATGGTTCAGGCACCTGATCCAATCCTAATTATAAGCTTTATGACACTGTCTGTCTCCTGAACCCAAACTGGAAGCCGTTTCCACAGAGGAGACAACTTATAGTTGAAGGCTCTGCCTCCCCTTCTACTTTTAGAAACTGCGGGAACCACAAGTAAGCTGTGCAGGCGTATTGAAGAGTGCTCTGTAAGGATAACATGGTACTATGAGGTGTTTAAGATAGAGGGCCTAAAAGATCAGCTGGATTCTATGAGGATTTTAAATGGGTTTTCTGGATTTTACAAAAAGCAAAGGAAGACTAGCTAATGTGGACTTTCTGTGCAGAGCCATTTCTAATTTTTTCAATATTCTGCATTTTAAAGTTGTTACTAGAGACTTGTTACATGGTCAGGAACGACTTTTAGGCACTGCTCCTTATAACTTACCTTACTGGAGGCCAAGATAATGCCATCCATGGTATGTATCAGTTTTGGCAGTATGTTTCTGAGGAATATTTAAATGAGGGTGCAGCAGGTCTGAGGTGTTAGCTGGCTGAATAAATGGCACTGCTATGGTAACAGTAAACAGCATGTGTGCTGGTTATCCAGATGCAAAATAAACAGGGTTTCCCATTTAAAACCACCAACAGTAGTGCTTTTGTGCATCACGCTGACCTGTGGAGGATTTCCTTCTGTATGAGACCCGTTTTCGACACTTGGAGTCATCCATGTTAGAATCAGTTTCTTGTGAGTAGGTCACCTATAAAGAGATGATGTATGATCAGACTGAACCAGTGTAAAAAGTCTGTGTCATATCTGTGTCACTCGCCTCTGTTGTTCTAGAAGTAAAAATGTTAGAAGCACAAAAATTGTGTTGGTATTAAAACAACAAGCTTCCTTAACTAAGCAATATAAACTCCTGCCTGTCTTGTTGGAACACCATGTCTCTGCTGTTTTTGTTGTAATCCTAGCACGCTCTTCTCATGTGTCACCTCTGCTCTGCGTCCCTCTCTGCTTTCCAGTTCTCTAAATAAATAACCAAAGGTCAACACAAAGTGCACTCCCAGCTCTCTTTTTAAAAGATAAAACTAGCTCATTTGGATTCACACACACACGCGATGCTGCTCTCTCACTTAACGCGTTATTACAACCTCCCCACATCATGTCTTCTGTCCAGCGATTAGTACTCTCTCATTCTTGTCTTCCAGCAAATGAGCGATTACAGAAATTTCTTTAAAATAGAACTGAATATGAAAGCCTATATTGCTATAATCGGTGGGGCCAGCCTTATTTAAGTTACCTTTGCATTTTCATCACGGAGGTCAAACGTGAGCTCCAGGTTAGTGAAGAAGTGGTCCGCGAATTCTGGATACATGTCCAGCACCTCCAGAATGTCCTCCCTCTGAATGGTTTGCAGGTCACAATAACTTAGCGCCCGCACGTCTGCGCAGGATTTCCCCGGCTTTGCGTACAGGTGTATCATTTCTCCGAAGATGTCATTTTTGCCTAAAAAAGAAACAAGTGGGGAGGTTGACACAGGAAGTGTCATCTTTCAGCTTATGAAGGACATTTATTTTTGGCAGAAGAAATTAAATTAAAGTTACTGGAGAACATATAGCATATATAACTTGTAGATGCAGTGTTTTGCAGACTGGGGAACCTCTGCCTAAGAAACTCTCCCTCTGATGCTTTTCTTATAACCAAACATGTTACTGAGCTACAAATTAAGCTAATTAGATACAAAATGTTCCTCCACCTGTTTTTCTTAAAATGATAATGATAAAGCTTTGTTTCATATTGACTAAAATATGGATTTATGAGATTTTATTTACATTTTGTGTTATTTTTGTGTTGATCTAATTCCCTCGCAGAGAATGTGCTGACTTACATGTGATGGCCCTTGCTTATCCTAACCCTATTGTGTCATGTGCTTTCTCTAGACCTTATTGGCTGTGTGAAAAGAGCCCTTAATGAAAAACAAGCGTATAAAAGGCTCAGCAGGCTACACCTGCCCATAGCTGAGATGAGAGAAACAGGGAGACCAGATGAGATTTGCTGTGATTAAATCTGGAAGCTGTTGATAGCAGAATGCGGCTTCTGTCATCAAGCACTACATCACACCACGCTGACAACCACACAAAATTTCTCTACTCTCTTTTCTTCCGCTGTCACTTCACATTCTTTGTTTTCTATTGCTCTTCTCTTCTCTCTAACCTGCCCACTCGTTCATCCCTCCCCATTTCTTTTGTCATTTGTCTCTATATGAAAGAAATCGTGCCCTTTTTTTTT